AAGAAAAGACCAAAAAAGAACAAAGAACAATAAGGAAGAAATACAAAAAAAAAAAAGGCATGGCAGTGGATAGTAGGGGTGGAAGGGAGGCAGATGAGGAAGAATGGCAGTAAGTAGTGGTAGATGGAGAAGTGTGGGTAGGATCGCGGTGAGTTAATGTGGGTCTCTTGTTTCCTGCAGATGACGGACTACAATGTCGTCTTGTGACTGGGGTGGAGGCGTGTGCTTTCCTGTTCTTCTCTATCTCTCTCTCTCTGTCTCTCTCTCTCTCTCTCTCTCTCTCGCTCTCTCTCTCTCTCTCTCTCTCACTCTCTCTCTGTCTCTCTCGCTCTCTCGCTCTCTCTCTCTCTCTCTCTCCGTCATTTCTCTACTTGGACACGCGCAGTAGGGGTGTCTCCTTGCGCGCTGTTTGCGGGTGGACTTGAAGAGGCCGTGATTCACCGAGACGGTGTGAGGGCACACGAGTGGCTTTAAAAAAAGCCGCTGAGTAGAGGCTGCATGGAAGTGCATGTGCCTCGTGTATTCTTGCGCAGCTATGGCTTGCTCACCAGCGAGGAGATCGAGGACTGTCTTCTTCTTCAGGCCGTTCCGCTGCCTCGCAGCCGCCAGCTTCTCGCTGTGCCCTTCTTAGGGAAGGACGCCCCCTCTCCCGCCTCTGAGTTCTCGCATCCTGACATGCTGATTGGTCTCTCCATTCTCGCGTATCGGTATCAAGGACTGCGTTATGAGGATTTTCACAGGCTCCTCGTTGACCAGCTGGGGAGGCTGGAGGGAGGCTACGGTCCAGTATCGACACGGCCTGCAGCGAAAGAGTATGGGAACTGGATATGGGCAGCAGGAGGGCGAGTCAGGGGGCTTCACAGGAGAAAGAGACACGCAGAAGAGTGGATTCACGATCTCAGGAGCCTCGCCGCGGAGGCAATGCCGCAGCAGCAGCCTTCGCACCCGCTTCGCATGGACGCAGACGATCCGTTCCGCGGGCTGCCTGGCCTTCGGGAAGGCGGCACTGACAGCAAGACGGAGACGCGGCAGACGAGCGACTCAGGCCTCCCCTCCGGAGCAGCAGCAGCGGAGGCGAAGTTCTCAGAAGCGGAGGCTGCCGAGGGAGAGACGTTCGACAAGATGTATCCGCTGGAAATGCTGAGTCTCAGCGACCGCGAGCACCTGGAGAGTCTGTACACCCTCATTGGGAAGGAGCCTCTCGCAATCGCCGCCTTCCTGTTCAGACGCGTAATGCCTTCTGTGCTGGAGCACGCGCCCTTCCAGCTGTCTGCCTCGGGTCAAGAAATAGGGGGAGACAGTCTCTTCACGGTGCGCATAGGCTTCTCTGGGACGCCTTCTGAGCTGCTGCCGTGCGAGATGGGCAAGTGCTGCTACGAAGCAGGGACAGATGGAAAGGTTCTGCGTCTCCTTTCCTCCCCGTCCGTCGTCTCTTGGGAGCTGCTGCCACCAGAGTGGAGTGTGGCTTCGCTGCTGCAGCTCGTAGCTGCGCCCAGAGAGCCTCCCTTCCACGCGCTGATCGACACAGGCGCCCTTATATCCGGCATTAGCAATTACCACGTGGCCTTGGTTCTCCTGCAGCTCGGCTTGCCGCACATGGAGGGCGTCGTCTTCCTCGACAGTCGAGATCGCCAAATGGTGCTGATAAGGGAGGGGTGGGAAGTTCTGCAGCTTGCGCAGTGCGGAATCGCCACAGAAAGACGCTTCTCCTTCTACGATCACGTCCACACCACCGGACAGGTACACACACGCGCCTTCTAATGAGTCTTCGCGTCTGGAGAGGAGCTGCTTCCTCTTCCTGCACATGACGTTGCAGTATGTGAATCTCTTTATGGATGGGTGTGTATGCCTCCGTACAGCCATGCCCGCCCACTGCGCGCTTGCATGCGTGTATCTGTGTGTGTGTGTGCCGCGGCTGCTGCTCCTGCCGCATATATGGCGGAATATATCTGCTGCGTGCTTCTCTCTGAGGGGCGAGCGAGCGGCGATCTTTATGCCCTGCTCAGGACGCCTCAGGTGCTTGCTGACACTGCTGCTGCTGCTGCTAGCTACACGTGCTGGCCGTCCTGCCTCTCCGCGCGTCTTGTGTTCAGGATATTCGGCAGGCGGCCGATGGGAGGGCCTTCTTGACTCTTGGGAAAGACTGCACCTTTAGAGACGTTGCGCAGGGAGCTTTCCGCATGCGGGGGCTTGGCAGGGGCCAGACGCTGCATTATTTGATTCCCCCAGGCGTTGCCGCCCTCATAGAGGGGCACGCACGTCTTGTAGGATCGGTGCTGCCTTCGGCTGCTCTCTTTCCGGAGCTGCATCAGCAGCAGCCGCTCATGCGGGGAGAGCAGCAGCAGAGACAGATGCAGATGCAGATGGCTCGGGGCTGTTCGTTGTTGGGAGAAATCTGCGGCTGGCTGGTAGCGCGTCAGGTGACTCAGGAGTGCATGCAGCATCGTCTGCTGTGCCTCCAGAGCGCTAGCAACGTATGGCGGAAGGCGGCCTTGGCGGTGCTGAAGGAAACGCATGCGTCTTTGGGAACTGATGCCGCGTCGGTTCAAACGCAGAACGCCCTTGGGGTCTTCTTGGAGCCTGTAGACTTTTCTGTTCCGCCAACAGTTCCCTTCTCCCTCCCCCTGAGCCTGAGGATCAAGCAGCTAGCGCAGCAGCATGCAGAGCTGCTCGAGGCAACCGCTGCCTCGGCCTCTCCTCAGGGGAGCTTCTCGATTTCGAGAGGCAAGGCGCTGATCGACAAGCTCGTTCGGGAGCTAGAAGAGGAGGAGGCGGCTGCGAGGAGACATGCTCTGAAGGGGGATGCGAGAGACGCAGAAGTATCCGATGCCTTGCGAATGGAAGGCCTCGAGGCAGAAATCGAGGGCGAAGAGCAGCAGCAACAAGAAGAGGAGCAGGTAAGACAAATGAGCGCTGCCGCTTTTGCTGCATCAGCCGACACAGGACGGCGTTGGCTGCTGCTGCATTGCTATTCACTGCGTCACGGGGGGAATGGAAGCCTTAGGCATCACACTACGCCTTTTTGTGTCGCTGATACTGCCGGTGCCGTTGCAGGAGCAGCAACAGGAGATCGAACAGGAGAAGCAAGAAGAGATCGCCAGAGAAACAGAAGAAGCGGCCCCTCTCAACTACTCGCGGGTTGACGAGGCTGCTCGCCCTTGGCTGCTAGCTGCCTTGTCTCTGTCCCCTCAGGAGGAGACGCAGGAGTTTTACCTTGCCTCCCGCTTCTCCGTGGCCTCTGCGCTGCAGCAAAAGCTAGCCCGCTTGCAGCAGCAGAAAGGGACGGGCGCTGCAACAGCAGCAGCAACAGCAGCAGCCGCTGCTGCGGCTGCAGTCACTGGAACCGCCGTGTCGGCTGCGGCAACGGGTCTGCCCTTTCCTCCGTATCTCTTTTTCAGCAGCAACTATTATAGGGGCGAATGGAGTCTGTCTTCTGCTCCCCGTCGAATAAAAAACGTCATCCTTGTGATGCAGTGGCTGCCCGACTGGGGCAAAATTGCCGAAGGGGGGGGGGGGATCTTCAAAAAGGCCTCAAGGAGCAGAGGGGAAGGCTGAGCGGGACGCAGCAGCGACTGCTGCAGCAGGCTTTCCACTGCTTTGCGGGAGAGGAGACAAAGACGCTGGCGGAAAGAGACTTTCCAGACTTCCTTGCTGCTTTGCTGCTGCCTGCTGCTTCTGCCAAGGGGTGTGACGCTCTCTGCCAGTACCTTAAGGCAGTGGTGCTGCAGCAGCGCGCCTCCACTATGGGCCTCCCTAGCAGCGCCTCGGAAACGACCGCAACAACAGCAGCCACCCGCCTCTACAGCGACAGCCCAGGACTGCCACAGCCCTCTGCTGCATGCGCAACCCTTCCCGTTGTTGCTGCAGCGCAGCAGCAGTTGCACCAGCAAGAGCAGCCGCTCTCAGTGCTGCAGAATCTATGGCAGCCGCCTTCTCCACCTGCCATTCAGCAGGAAATGCATACCGAAAGCGCTGATCCTCTTGCAGACTTCTTCGGGCATGCGGCCACGGAGGGAGACAAAATAAGGGCAAGCGATAGGGACATGTTCAGCATCTGCTCATCTGGTGACTCCCGAACGCAGCTGTCGAAGAAGCAGAGCGATCTTCTTGGCCTCTTTGAAACTTCGGCTTCTTCGAACTCACAACAGCGGCACAACATGGAACCCATGCAGCCGCACAGCCTGTTGAGCGCCTCCTTCTCGTTCCCGTCCTCAGCACAAGAGCCAGCTGCCCCCCGTACAGTCTCATCGCGGCAGCAGCCACGCATGCAGCGGGAGGAGGAGCTGCACTTCACTCTCGCAGAGCTGTCTGCCGCCTTAGGGAGTGCGCCTTTCTGCGCGGAGCAGGAAGGCCGTTTCTTCGTGGTCTTGACGCTCGCGGAAGGCGAGGCGGTGAGGGCGGCTTTGCATGCTCAGCAGAGGCGGCAGCAGCAGTCCCTGGTGCCTGGACACCGCGTTGCAGTGTCTCTACACAATGTGTCTGCCAGTTTCGCCATGGTGGACGGGTCTCCTTTCTTTAGGAAGGACGAGGAACGGGTTGCTACGGCCGTAGGTGTGCAGCAGCAGACGGCGCATGCGTGCCTTCGCTTCCTGAATAGCTGCCTCCTGTATTCTGAGTCTCACCTGCTGCTCTTGCAAGGCGTCCTGTCGCAGACGCCCTGTAGAGACAGGCAAGAGTTCTTCTTCTCGATTCGCCGCTGCAGGAGGCGGCAGCAAAATGCCGCGTGGGAGCAGCTGCCTGTTGCGCGTCTGTTTTCTGCTGCCGATGGAGGCGCCCAGCTCCTGCAGCACAGAGCCTTCGTGTCTCGACTGAGGGAGAGGCTGCGGAGGAAGCGGCTGCTTCCGGCGGAAGCGTTCCGTCTGTTTGATGTTTTGAACAGGGGCCAGTTGACAGAGGCTCAGCTGGTCGCGGGAATCAAGTGGTTGGGGCTTCAGCTGCAGCAGCAGCACCAAAGAGACATTTGCAGAAGGTTCGACTTGGATGGCGATGGCTTCATCAGCCTCAACGACTTCCTCCTTACGGTTGGACAGATCGGAGGAGAGGTCTCTGCTGGGCCTGCTGCACGAACTGCCGATGCAGCAGCAGCGGGAATTGCTGCAGGGTTAGGGGCTTTCAACGGGACTGAGACTGCGGGAGCCACAGCTGGAGGCATAGGGCCTCATTCCCAGCACAGGCAGTCTTTCGAGAGCGGCACTGCGACGACGACCACGGATGCAGCAGCTGCTGCTCTCTCGGGGGATGCCTCTGCGGCGGAAGCAAGTCAGCAGTCGCTGCTACAACAGTGGGGGCTCAAGGAGGCCCTTCCAGGCGACTTGGTTTCCCGTCTCAAATTTCGATTGCAACCGCACGCGGCATTCGAACGAATCTGGACTGGCAGGCTGCCTTGCACCGACACACGGAGCAGCAGCAGCAGCGGGAGTGCACTGTTTTCTATATGGGGTCCAAAGCAGATGGAGGCGAAGCACAGGGGACTGATGCGCCGCAACAGGGAGCGCGTTCCCCTGGGATACTTCATTTGTTCGGGGACGGACATCACCAAGGCGCAACAGCAACAGGCACTCTCAGCACCTGCAGGAGCTGCAGCAGCAGGTGCGGGGCCCCTCGTGCTCGAAGCCACAGACTCGGGGGCCTCCTCGATGTCAGAGAGCGTGGAACTCACAAGGGCGCTTAGCTGCCTCTTTCCTGTGCCGGTCAAGTACAAGGTTTTATGGCGCGAGAGTATCTCCCAAGCAATGCTGCTGCTAAATCCCACCGAGGGCCCCCCTCTGCCTGGAGGCCCCGCTGGGACGCCGGGCGGGGGGGCCCCCCTCACCCTGTGGGCCCCTGTGCCCCCGTCCCCTCTGTTTGTCGCTTTGGGGATAGTCGCCACGCGAGGAAACGAAGCTCCCCCCCCCGGTGCCATTAGATGCGTTCCTGCCAAGTGGGTACGGCAGGCAGGCTCCTCTATTCGCTTGGCGGAAGTCTCAGAGGGGGGCGCAGGCGCCAGAGGGAGGCCCAGGGGGCCCCCCAGCAAACTGGCACTTTGGCAGGTGGGCGGCATGGCCCTTCTGGGGGCAACGCTCGAGTCTCCAGATGGATCGCTGCACAGAGGTAAGACACCAGGCTCCAGAACCTGACCTGTACTCTGAGTTGCAAAGCTGAGGGCAAGCCTTGAACCTGTCGATAGGCCAGCTCGAAGTGTAGCGAGCAGCTTGGCAGTACTTCTACGAGTAACGCGCCGTTGCCGCTGTTTCTCTTGTCGGCGCTGTCGAGGGGGTTCTGTTGGAAAAAGATGGCGTTTTGTGTTTGGTGCTCTATTGTTGCAGGTGGAGTAACCTGGGGAGACTTTCTTTCCGCCGACTTCCGTTTGAGGCCTGCCGCTCCCCCCATGTCCTCTGGGTACAGACCTCCCAGCCTGAGTAGCCAAGGGCGCCTCTCTGGAAGCCCCCTTGACGTTCTGGATAGCGCGGATGCAGCAGTGAGCGACGCACAGAACCCCAAGCTGAATATGGCGAATGCTCTGATACCTGATATCTCCACCAAGAAGAGCAGCATTTGGTAAGGCATATTTCTGTGAGTGCGGGCATCGGCCATGCTATTCCATTGTTGGAAGCTGTACATGACCGGGCTGGCCGCGGGTGGACCTCCCGCTGCATTTGCTATTACGCACGGTGTTACGGAATCCTCTACAGTACCTTTTTCTTGAAACAGGGGCACTCACCGGAGTCTTTCTTTTTCTCACCTGCTTCTTAAAGTCGGAAGCAAGAAGACAGCGAAGTGTCTTCCTAACGGGCGGCAGTTGGAGGTGCCATCTAACGTGTAGAATCCTTGGGTGCACTCCGGTTCATTTTGTCTTACGTCTCGCAAAAATAACACTGGTGCTTTGGTGATTCTAGCACATGCTCACTACAAACAGATGAAGATCAGCCTTCTAAAAGAGAAGCGGGAGTTCCACGCTTCTTAGTGAAGTCGCAAGCAGACGAGAAATGACATACAGAACGACTACGCTTAAAAGTCCCCTCTATCTCGCCATCCGAAATTCGGTGACCATCAGGCAGCGACATAAAGAGAGCGCAAATCCCTATTTTTGAGACTTTACAAGATCTGCCTGTCCAAATCTGTCAGGTAGAGCTACCTACATGAGGAAGCAGGTGTGATCAATTTCGTTCTAGTCGTAACTTCGACGTGAGTCTTTCCATCTGTTGTAGTCCGAACAAGAAAGTGTCCATTGTTTTGTGTCGCTTTAGCATCGGCTAGCTGCAATACTCGCTGTGCCTGAATGCCTAGTGGGTGATTCGCCATGTCGAGCTCGCATCGGCTTCCATCATGTGTTATAACCTGACCCTGTGTATCTGATTGAGCCGCATAGCTTAGGTATAGCAATGTGTGAGTGTCTAGAGTCATGGACCGGCCATATTTGGAGAAAACCCCTGTGGGCGTCTGCCTGTAGCAAGCAAGGTCCTAGTACATTCCTTGTTGGTAGGCGACTCAATGCACTAGTTAGAGGAAATAACGCAGAGTCCTAGGGAAGGCGATACACCATATAAGGGCATACATAAGACTTGAAGGGCGTGGCCTCTAAAAGACGAAAGGCGCTCCTGCATCCTGTTAGAATTAGGCAGAGAGCGGACTCTACTTCCGGCAGCTTTTTTTACCTGCCTCCTTCCAAATGAGGGAGCATCTGGTGGTGGGGCGTATGTTTTTCCCCCGTAGCTGCGATGTAACTGAAATGAGGCTTTCCCTGATTCCTTCACCGCTGTTTGTTCATACAGGGAGCCACAGTAACAGGCATTCGCCATAGTTTCATGTTTTTACTTTTGAAAGAGCTGTGTCGTCCCCTACACTTCCCCGTTAGAAGCCGAAAGTGTGTCTGAAGCTCTTTTTCCGTGCAGGAAAGAATGAAAAGTTTATACGCGGTCGCATGCTTTACCGGCACATCTCAGAGAGGCTTGTTTGGGCACCCATCATTCTCTCCTATTGTGTAGTGGGCCTCGCCATATTAAGGCGCCTTCTACCAAACTAGCTTTACTCAACTAGACACTAGTAAAGACTTCAGCATAGGGTTTGACAGCCAGCGTGTACCACCCCTGTAAGCTGTCCATTAGGAGACACCTTCAGGCTGATCCTCGCATTATTCTGTTTATATCTACTTGAGACAGAAAAGAATTGACAATTGGGTTTGGCAGCGTCTATATGTTATTTTAATTAGAGTAGAGTTTTCCCTTAAAAGAGTTTTTCCTCGTAATGCCCTCACCCCTCAAGTTTCCAACAAGAAAGGAGATAGGGAGCAAGGGTGCTCGTTGCTGTACCCCGGTCAGCACTTTCGAGCACCTAGGTGTCTGCATTAACTATCGCACAGGCCAAAACGTTGCTTCTACCGTATTTAGCGAAGTCTACTCTTGAGGAAATAAGATATGTATGAGGTACCAAGCCATCATAGTCTTTTCGTTTACTTTCTCATGCATACAACATTGAGAATAGTACACTACGACCAAGTGCAACTCTGCACGCTATAGTTCAAATGCGCTGAATGCTGCCGAGTAGTTTTACGTCAATACTGTAAGAGTTGATTCTGTCTGCGTGTGCGGTAGTTGCCATCTGCAAGCGGGTGAGAATATCCGAAGTGCTCAAAGGGTGCAGCAATTTTCACTGTAGCTGCCCCTTCCCTGCTTGCCAGAACCCTGTGAAGTTACAGCATGCAGAGGATAGAGTAAGCTCATTCGGAGAGATACACTTACACTCTCTAAAATCCTAAATTTTATGGGTATGCACCAGTGTGTCCCCATCGAAACCGGAGGTGAATAGCCGCACACGTCGTTTCGACACGAGTAACAGCGAGGTTATGCAGTCAATCCATGATTTGTAGACCGAAGGAAGACGGAAGTCTTGCAAGCCGAGTGTTGCTCATATTGTCTCCACAAGAAGGCCCTGAGACTCATCAGGATATACAACCAGGTTTGCTTGCGCTTACTTTGGTGGGGATGCCAGAATGAAGGAAGAAGACACGGCATCGGTGCAAGTGGCTGCATCCTCCGACGATTCTGGCTGTTTTCATGAGGTCAAACTCAACAACTTGGAGCGCAGTTCAAAAAGCACATCATCTCTAAGTGCAGAGCTACTCCTCTGCAGCAGAAAAAGTACAGGACTGGCAAAAATGGTGTCAAACCGCACAAGAATGCTTTTTAAATTCACTTACAGCAGCAGAACGCCCTGAATCGCGGCTCTTCCTCTACGTAAAGCCTTCCTAGCCGGTTAGATTAGCTGCAAGCACACCAGGTGGGCAGTTGTGTGAGCCTAGAGGGATTTCGTTGATACAATGACGCTACCCTAAAGAAATAGCCTGGCCGTCTTTGCTACTGTACTAAATACACAAGTATGTGGGAATTTCTCGACTAGCTGTCGAGGTTTGCTGAGTCGCACCCTATCACTGCGCGGTTTACGGACAGATTAACGTCCAGCTTGGCTTGAGCTTTCTCATGCTTTCTATCTATTAGCAACGAGCACGGCGATAGTGTCTTTAAGCTGGCTGAGAATAGCCATTCGCACTAGAAAACTCTGCAAAATAACGGCGAACAGAGGTAGGGGACGCTGCGTGCGAACCTATCGGTGAGTGCTTGGGGTGTCGGCGAAACACTCTCCTGGAGCACCCTAGGTGCGTAGGCCACCGCTTTCTGTGTAGATTTTAGAGCTGTGGGTCTAGTAAAGATTCCTAGGAGTGTGTGCAGGGGCGTTGAATTAGTGTAATATGTTTCAAAGGATCTATGAAGCTCCGAATAGCAGCAGCAACAGCGGCAGCAGTTCGCGCCCTCAGGCACTATGTGCATGCCGCTGGGGATGGGTGAGTGGGGTGTCTGCAACTGTCACTGTGAGTTTACACAGAACTCTACCTTCTGTATTTGCCAGCTCTAATATCGTACTTTTTGTCTCGCGCACTCTGTTGCAATTGAAAATGGTGGCAATCGTTGAGGTTAAGGCTCGTGAGATCCTTGGTGAGTCACTAGAACACAATTCCTCGGACGCACACCACTTGCACCCCCAGTCTCCTGAAGATCGGGCTTTACAAATGCCTGCATATTCCGTGCACCGTCTTTACCTTCATTTCCTCCATTTCTTCTTGATGCCTGCGGTTCCGTTCGGTGCGGGGTGCATCGGTTGGAAAAGCATTCACGTGGCTTTTAGGAACTTCGAGCTGCTCCTGTAGCTGAAACAGTGCATCATGACTCCGTGACTCTTCCCCTTGTATACTTCTGCTTTTAAACCCCTTATGGTCTGTTGGAGGATCTACACGCTTTAGCAGCCGTAGCACACACCATCAGGGTGGTATTTGCGCATCGGCGTTTAAAGCGTTATCAGTAGCGTCTTGCCTGGCCTTCCAACCTCGTCTTTTCCCTTTCTTTGGACTAATGGATTTGCACTGGTTATGCGCGTCGTCTAGTCCGATGGATCAGTTTTCTGCGTGCTCTATTGCCGGTGTTTTTCTTGTGTTCGCTAGTCTTTGTGCTTCCTGATTTTCCTCGATTCCTCCGGTAGGCGACTCCGTGCTTCTTCTGCCCCGCATTCTTTCATCTGCTCATGTGTGCATTGCGTGCTGCGTCTAGACTCGAGGGGCAACCCTACCGTCGAAGTGGATTTGAAGACAGAGCAGGGCTGCTTCAGGGCAGCTGTCCCCTCCGGCGCCTCCACTGGCATTTATGAGGCCCTTGAGCTCCGTGACGGCGACAACTCTCGCTATAACGGAAAGGGTAGGCACTAATTGGAGGAGCTTTTTTCACCTCTTGTTTGTCCTCGTGTCTTTTAAAATGCGGCAGCGCAGCTGGACACGGTCTCTGATTCTCCCGCGCCCTTGTGCCTGGTGGTTGGGTACAGCATTTTGTGGCTGCACGCGGAACAACACACCTTGCTCGCTATTCCTAGCTTCTCTTGCTCGCTCGCTTGGGCATACAGAGGGGCCTGGGGTTATCGGGTGACTGGGTGTGTTTCTCTTCGCTGTCGGCGTGGCAGTGGCCAGTCTGCGGGTGTGCGTCGCGTGTTCATTCGCTGCAGGCGTCCTCAAGGCTGTGGAGAATGTCAACACGGTACTTGGCCCTGCCCTTGTGGGAAAGGACTGCACGAAGCAAGCCGAGCTCGACAAGCTGATGGTGGAGGAGTTGGACGGAACGAAGAATGAGTGGGGTTGGTGTAAGTGCAAGTTGGGGGCAAACGCGATCCTGGCGGTCTCCATGGCGCTTTGCCGTGCGGGAGCTGCAGCCAAGGGTATCCCGCTGTACAAATACATTGCCCAACTGAGCGGAAACCCCGAGGACGCTTTTATTATGCCAGTGCCTTGCTTCAACGTCATCAATGGCGGCAAACACGCCGGCAACAAGCTCGCCATGCAGGAGTTCATGATTGCTCCGACGGGTGCCACTTCCATCAAGGAGGCTATCCGCATGGGGGCGGAGGTGTATCAGGCTCTGGCAAAGTGCGTGAAGGCCAAGTACGGTCTTGACGCCACGAACGTAGGGGATGAAGGCGGCTTTGCTCCCAACATCACGAATCCCAAGGAGGCGATGGACTTGCTGGTCGAAGCGATCCAGGCAGCGGGGCACACAGGCAAGGTCAAGATTATGACAGACATCGCAGCTTCCGAGTTTCACAATGGGTCGGATAAGACTTACGATCTGGATTTCAAGACCCCTAACAACGACAAGTCCATGGTGAAGACAGGCCAGCAGCTCAAAGACGTAAGCTCTCCTGCCGACGAGGCGCGCGTAGAGAGAGAGGGTTTTCTCGCTGGTGGGAAGGTGTCGCGGCTCCACTTTGTGTGAGCTCGCCTTTATGTACACGCACACACGATGCGGGAGCCCTGTGGCGAGAAGGGGGATGTTGCGTTTGAAGCGGTCGTGCCGGCAGTGTAAGCACAGACATGTGTTTGTGTGTCTTGAATGGTTCGCTTGATCGATCGCGCTCAGGTGTACAAGGACTGGTCGAAGGAGTACCCCATTGTCTCTATTGAGGATCCGTTTGATCAAGATGATTTCACTTCCTATGGTGCCCTGACCTCCGAGATCGGTTCGCAGGTGCAGATCGTGGGAGATGATCTTCTGGTGACGAATCCCACGCGCATCGCGAAAGCCTTGGAGCAGAAGGCGTGCAACGCTCTGCTGCTGAAGGTTAACCAAATCGGCTCCATCTCTGAGGCCATTGAAGCCTGCAAGCTCTCGCAGAAGAACGGATGGGGCGTCATGGTGTCGCACCGCTCTGGCGAGACTGAGGATTCGTTCATTGCAGACTTAGTTGTGGGCCTTCGCACTGGTCAAATCAAAACCGGCGCTCCTTGCCGCTCCGAGAGGCTGTGTAAGTACAACCAGCTGATGCGCATTGAGGAGCAGCTCCAGGGGCGCTGCACGTATGCTGGCGAGAGGTTCAGGAACCCCCAGGCGTAAGCGCAGCGCAAGGCAAACCCCTGCGTGGTAGCCGCTCTTGCTCCGATATTAGCTCAACGACGAGGAGCACCCATAGGAAACAGAGGGATTCTGTTTGAATCCCGCGTCCATTTGAGGCTGCCAGCAGATATTTTCGATCAGCATGGACCAGAAACATTCGGCTTCTTTCCGTGAGAAGTGTATGTGTGCTTTGAGCTTTCACACGATAAGGGCTATCTTCTAGGTGAACTGGAGATTGGGGGTTCATGGACACGCGGCTTATAGCCCATCACGCAGTGGCTTTGACGGGAGTACAGCTATCAGGCGCGCAACGCGAGAGCAAGGCTACACACTGAGGGAGCAAGAGCCGCAAAAGCACGCAGAGTTCCTACGGGGGGCAGGAAGTTTGTTTGTTGGCAGAGTTTGTGTGGATTGCTACTACACATAGGCTGAACAGACGGGGGGCCACCACGCATGCTGCGTTGGCTAATTAGTTTGAATGCATGTGTAGCTGGAAAGAAGTGTTGCCTCGTCGTGAGACGGTCTGGACTTACCCTAAGCCTCTGCTACTGCACTCCAGCTCTTTTGGCAGTTCTGTGCGGCTACGGTATCGTTTTGCAAAAGCGAATTGCCAATCATATTGTTTCCTGATGAGGAGTCATGCGAAGTAGATGTTCAAAGGGAAAACCTAGCAGCCAACGGTAGGGCTCGCTAGTGACCCCCAATGCCAACAACTCAAGGGACGCCAACTTGGCCCTCTTGATTACCTTGCGTGTGATTCTTTCACGTCAACTTCTTCAGCCCTTCTAGGCCGCTGGTGCTTCCTGAAGGCCTCTCAGGAAGTCCAGAAGAGTCAGTACTCTGGCCTGGGCAGTACACCGCTAAAGCTGCAGCTACCTCCCTGTGTCGTCGTCTCACACTGCAGTGCTGCACTGGCAGCTGTCCGTCAGTAGACTAGAAGTTCCAAAGCTCTCTGCATGGCTGCCTATCCAGCAAAACTGGTTGTTGACCACTCGCGTGCGCTTTCGGCTGGGTGAAGCTCGCTCAGCAGGCTTATTCCTAAGCCCATCTTCTCTGACCCTGACTAGCCAAGCATGCACGGAATTTCTGGACCCCTTAGGTATGAATGGAAAACAAACTGCAGGCTATGCCTAGCATTCTTTGGTCAAAGGAGCTTGTCTTACGATGCCTCCTCGTGGAGGCCAAAGTTTTCTCAAGATTCCGCAGTGGATAGCCGCCCTAAGGCTTAGGCAAATATCAGCTCTGTTTCCGGCAGCCATTCCAAAAAAGGCTCGAGCGTGAACTCAACCGTAGACACTGCAACACAAGAAATATTTACTCACATTTACAGAGGGACCTAGCCACGCAGCACCGAGGTGATGGGCGCTCTAAAGTGTCTCGTGAACCAAAGTCCTACCTTCCAAAAACCCAACTCCTTAAGTCATCTTAGACAAAGCTTTCTAATATCTGCGGCCTTATTGCATGCCTTTCTGTGATTCGCGAAGCAACGAAGAAGTGCCAGCACCAAATGAACAGAACCTGCACTAATCCGTTCACCTGTAGCCCATGAGCAAAGGCAAGGCATCACTGCATATACACTCACCCGGAACAGCCAACCCGAAGTTGCGCAGGCAGTCCACATGGAGTGTCCCCATGTGCCCAAGGGTCAAACGCGCTGTTTCCTTGCCCTCCTCGTTAGTTGGCATGCCAGGAAGGCGGCATACGGAGATTTCCACTTGGCGTCCTGGCAAAAACGTCGGGACTGTGGCAGCCGCACAAACACCTAGCAACGATGTTACGCTGGCAGAAGAACGAGTCAGAGAAATCAAGGGAGAGAAAGAGAGAGAAAACGAATGGACAGGTGCTCAGGCGAAACTCTTTCCGATTGAAAGAGATAAATGGTCAGAGCTTTCACACAGAGCAGTAAAGCAATAAAAGGACCATCTTTCCTTGTTGCGTTCCCTTTGCTCGCCTCGCTAACCGTGCCTGTCCCGATTCTGATACGCTAAGGAGGCATTCTGATATATTTTTCATGCTACCGCTCTGCTGCCTCAGTCTCGTGCACTCAGCCTGTATAGGTGCCTCGGTCGCTGTCCTCACGTAGCGCTCGATCACGCGGTGTTCGACAAAGCCTCACGGTTGGTAGTCCTGAGGGAAAATATTCTCATTTTCTCCGAGTTCTTCAGGGCGTCCCTCTGCTCCTCGCGTCCTGCTGCCACTGCATTCTTTCTCTCAGCAACTTCATAGTCCCCAATTAAACCCAGCGCCTCAAGGGCGGCGTCTACCAAGCCGTGCACCTCCTAAACGCGACACTCACACCGAACCGTCAGCATCCGAACCTCCGCGAAGCTAGAAGGCTCAGTAGTCCTGGCCCCGATGTAAGCATGCACCACCAGCGCAGCAGCTGCGTCAGCAGCGAAATGGCATGCATAGCGGCAGCAAGGCTTTAGAAAGGGCGCTTGCCACCAGGGGTTCATGGTTTGAGTTCTTTATTTTTGCATGATCTCACCTCAAGACCACTGCCATGCTCATCAGCGAAAGCAGCACAGCAGTAAAGAAGATTACGACTCCCTGTCTCTGTCCTGTCATCCCTAATCACGACGTCTCCGACCTGAAACAGAGCCCATAGTCAGAATTTTCCCCAGTTACCTCTACCTTAGAGAGCTAGCTACTTTACAACTGTACATGTGTTATGACTGTCCAGTGGCAGTCAAGATGGTCCACTCAGTTAAAGAGCTGCGGCCACGAGGCCAAACGACTTGACAGCCAGACGACTACAAGACTGTCAGGAGGCTAGTAACTAGGCAAAGAAACCTCGCGTGAGCGCTGACCTCAAAAAGCCGAATGGGCATCTCTCGACGTCCGACATTGTTGGCGAGAGACTTGAGCAGACCAGATATCAGCTGAGTACGGGTCTCTGTCAGCTCACGAGTCTTGGCGTTCGATAGGAGCACAGGCATCCCCAACCATTGGTGCTGCATCACACGCCAGCGGCTAGACCCCAAACCTTCATGCTCGAGGCCGAATACTCAACCGCCTTGTTCTGTACGTCTTGTAGTGATTGGTACTGCCAAAGGCTCTGGCAAGTGTGTATGCCTGCCACTGTCAATTCTGTTGTAGGTACAGCGGCGCAAAATCAACTGACCTCCAGCGGGTCGTAGTTCGTGGTTGGCTCGAAGTGGGGGTGCAAAGGCTTCCTGATGGCCTGTGCGTTATCTTCTGCACTGCAGAGTGCAAAGGTGAGGCACTCCGTGAATCCTAAAGACGTCAACAGCGTGCGGAGACTTTGCGTCAGCAAAGAGCGACGATTCGCAGGCAATTTGGGTGCAGGCGTCACCGGGAGACGGTCAAAGCCGATCCCTATGGCCACGTCCTCGGCAATGTCGCACGGATGCATCACATCTGAATGCAGCATATCACGAGGCACAACCTAGACACCCTAGATGGAAGAAAAAAAGGAGACGAAGGTATGCCTCAATCCAGCAAGACCGCGATTCCTCTGCTGAACCCCCACCAAAATAGGTACGGCGCTTATAGCCTAATCTCAGGCCTCACCCATTCGCGTGGGCGGCACTGAAACGAGGATGCTGTTTTGCGGATCGCTAGGATCAGGCTTGGCGGGAAGCATCAAGCGGCACAGCTTCTGCGCAGCCTCTGCAGCCGGCAGGTCCTTCAGGCCGCAAATTTGTCGCACTGTAGCCATATCGACAGAGACCTTGCGCCTTAGGAACGCAGCCACAACTCGCATGCCATAGTATTTACGTTTGAAATCTACACACTGGTTTGTCTGCGAGATTCGCAAGATTCCAAGACCCCTCAGTGGGGCATTCCCAAAAGTCTCTCTCGTGTGTAAAAAGCCGCCTATCTAGCTTCGAAACGTACGATTCTATAGACGGCGTAATGGTTTCTCTACCCTCCTCCTCGTAGATGACCCTAACGGGTTCAATGGCAAACGGCTCTTCGCAATATTCTGCGAGCATTGCAGCGACGGTTACTAGAGCCATCTCGCCCTTCCTCGCATCCACCTGCAAAAAGAACAAACACGGGTGCCCGCCGGAGAGCCAGCAGCAACAGGACTGCTTGCGGTGCTGCTTATGCTGCTGCATCCGTGATATTGGATGCCTGCAAACCTGCAAACCCTACTTGCGCATCCCTCTTGCACTTGACCTGCCGGCTGCCACACCCTCTGCAACTCAGTTGCAGGGGGCTGCAAGTGCGATTAAACTCAGCTGCCCTTGTCTCCGTGTTCCTCCCGCCGGCTCGCTCCCCTTTCCCACCCCCAGCCTGCAGCCCTAGGTACTCTGCTCTTATGCATCCACGGTTAACGTACCGAGGTGCAATCTATGAAGATGTCTCTGGAGGCCTCCGTGAGGCGGCAAAAATCGGAGTTGATCAAAGGAGGCATCGAGAGCACATTGCCCTTTGCATCCCTTAGTAGGTACAGTCGCGGCTGTCCCTCCAGCATGTGCAGGTATTGCTATCAAGGCGAAGAAACGCAATCACGGAATGGATGGGCATACTACACGGTGCATACAACCAGGCATCGTACGACACAGATGAGGCATAGCCCGCGGCAAAGAGCGAGGGGAAACAGTGGCGAGCGCGGAGAGTGTACTGCGATAGAAAGAGGAGGAAAAGCTCCGCGCGGATAAGGAGGGAAGCAGACAAGAAGGAAATGCAAGCCGATGTGGAAGTAGTCGCTGAGATTTGCCAGACATGGCGAGAATAGACCAATAGATGTAGCCACAAGCCTGTATACTACCAAGCATGGGGCAACGATTATTTATGCAAAGTAGCTTCATATTCGCCATATGTGCACAAAAAGAGAATCAGCTCTTCCTTGAGCGACGCCTTAGGCAAATGAAAAATGCACGCGAGAGAGAAGCCAGGGCCAGGGACTGCAAGGCTACCTTGAGTTGAGTGTGGTTGCTGAAATGGGCAAGGATTTCCGGGCCTGTCATTGGGGGAAGCGCTCCACAGCCTAGCGGCTGGAAGCAGACTTCCTGGGGAGGCAGCGCCTCATAGGTGAAGGGAGGCTCCAGCATGGACAAGTCGTATGTCCCGATCGATGCCAACGCTCGACGCCTGAACATAATAGACTCCAATTCCAAAGCCGTAAATTATGGGGGCCTTAAAGGGAGGCTGTCTCCGTCTGTGCGTCATAGCCTAGACTCTTGTATTCCTCGTATAAACCCCACACTACGCGCTACACAGCAAACCGTCAAACTGTAGACCCCAGAGCCGTAAGGCGCAGCCCTGAGGCTTCCGCTTTGAGATTTCAATGGCCTCAAGCCATACCTGCACAGCGTGTGGTGGAGCTTATCTTGCAGCTCAATGCACGACTGCAGACGCCGCTGGTTTAGTCTGACGCCCCGTAGCACTGCGCAGGCGATGAAGGGCCGAGGCCCCTGAGCCTGAGGAAATGGCACACCATGGTGGGGGAGGAAGAACCCGCTGTAACGCTCTTGAGCTACTTGGAAGCAGCAGAAAACCCCTGTAGAAATGCGCACGCTAGGGCTCTTTTAGCGCCACATGCTGTTTGTGAGGCGTCACCCCTGTGCACCGGAGGCAGCGACTTCGCAGCAACCCCACTCACTGATGCCTTGACGCGCATTGATATCCGAGGCACTCCCGAGTGGCGGAGTTGGGGGGTAACCTCGAGAGGGGATTGCGAAAGGAAAACCTTCAGGGCCCTCCCGAGGCCCTCAACGCACAGCAAGTCATAGCTGCAGCAATGTGGCAGGCACAAACGACGGGACAGAAGCACACGATTCGGCGAGACGGCGCAGCACACGTAGTGGCTAAAAGGTCGAGGCACGAGGCAGGCAGCTGGCGAGAAGCAAGGAGAGCCCGAACGGGAGCGAAGGTCCGAGTGACTGCACGAAAGAGGGGGCTAGAAAGCGAGAGGCACAAAAAGCGCTCGTGTGTAACGCAGAGCAGCCCTGAAAGCGGGTGGCACAAGGCCCCTCTTGTGCAGCGAAATAATGAGGAGTAAGTGCAGCTACTATGCGGCCAGAGAGCTGCGGCGATAGGGTCTCCTCAACGACTAGGGAGCCTCCCTCCTAAAGGGCCCTTCTGGAAAGGCCTGTACGCCAGGACGGATGAAACTTGGTCGCATGCCACATGCATGCGAGAGGGAGACGCTGCAGAGGTTGCCTACTGCAGTGTGCCTCTGTAGGAGAGGTCTTTGCCCATAGGGCCTTAAGCACTTCTTACCGGTTTGCTGGAACGTCGATCTTCAGCACCTTTTGGCCGTCCTGCTCGGTGACCTCGTCTAGCTCGACGCCGAAGGAGAAGCACAGAGCGTCCAGCTCATCTTCAGCTGCACCGCAAAGCCGAGAAAGCGCTTTTGACGCCCCTCCTCGCTACAGGGAACCTCCATCGACCCCTCCCCCGCAACCTTCCCCCTCGTCGCATTGCCTAACGTCCCCGTGGCCCCCCTCTTCCTTAGAGGGCGCGAAGAAACCCCTGCAGCACAAGAAGTTGCAGCAGCTGCGAATTACAGCGGCGGCACCGTCGGCATTTCGCAGGACAAAATCAACTCCCGGCTCACTGTAAATCCTGCTGAGGCGCTCGTAGAGCTCTTCAGCGACAATGGGAACCGTCGGCATCCCAGCGGAGATAGGAGAACACCGCGGAACTCGTCAAGACGCAAACAGCAAAAGACTGGCCGACGCAATGCGACCACAAACACAGATGCCAGACACACAATGATGAGGCTCTAGGCACGCAAATCGAGGCCACGGCGAGGGGGGTGCGCAAGTTCTAGGCCCTATGCGGTTGGCTTGGGCGCAGGCGTCCACAGAAAAAGGCGAAAATACCTCTGAAACCCAGAAAACGGACACCTTCAATTCCAGGGAGCTCTTGGCAATCAAGCAAAGACAACGGAGCGCATGCACTATGTGCCAGCCGCAGCAACCGCGCGAGCCCCAGACGTGCGAAGGGGTCAGCACCTGAACTTGACGCTGTGCAGTTTTATGCCTTCTAGCCATTATCCATCTATAAGAGGAGGGACTTCCCCTTCAATTGCAGTTGCGACAGCGCTATCTCCGTCTGCAGTGCTCCTCGGCGCTCCCTGTGGGGCCAACTGGTGGCCTGGCCCGCACGAAATCGCTGCCTTTCGCTGTATTTTTTTGCGACATTGCCAGTACTTGTATAAGCAAAAAAGACAAGGAGCATCGCTCCGTGTCACTGAACAGTCTTCCAACCAACCAAGCGCCGAGATAGGAGGCCCCTTCGAGGGGCCCCTCTCCTACGGGGGCCCCTGCAGCTCTCGAGCCGCCTTTGGGCCCCCCCTTCCTCTCTGCTGACTACAAATCAGCTCACAAGGCTCAATGGATCTAAGCATAAGCACAGAGGTCCCCCAGGGGCCCCAGGGGGCCCCTGGGGGCACCTCGGAGGAAAAGACCTTCTTCGGGCTCCCGACAGATCTTAGGCCTGATGGCCGCCTCAGTGCCACAGCTCTGAGACCCTTCAAGGTAGAACTGGGGCCCTTGAGGGGGCCCCACGGCAGTGCCAGATGCACGCACGTAAGCCGTGTAGGATGGGTGCCCCTGCTTTGAACGGAGCAATAGCGGCAGCAATGGCATCGACTGCTGGAACTTCATGGATGTTATCCGCATGTGAATCTGTGCTTTGTCTCTTAGGGCCTTACTGTTGCACTGGCTACGGTAGTGGGGCCCCTGGACGCAAGAGGGGCCCCCCACACTCATGCGGGGATCTCAGTCTCTGTGAAGCCTCTGAGCCAGCCCCCTACGGGGCCCCGCATGGCTGCTGCTGCCGCTGCTGCGCGGGCTGCAGCAGCGGTGGGAGAGAGCCCGAATTCGCAGCGGGAAGCAGCAGCGGCCGCTTACGCCAAAGGGGACACAGGGGGCCCCCAGGGGCCCTCGGCAATGGTAAGGAAGGCCTTGGACTGGAGTAGATGTATGGAATTCCGCCTGCAGCAGCTTCTGCAGGATGCCATCTGCACAAGCCAGTTTCCCCGATGCGTCATACAGGTCGTCGTGCTGCTGCAGCAGGACGATGGGGGCAGAGAGGCTTGTTGTTGCAACGCCACCTTCGCTGCAGTAATACACGCAGGGCTTCCCCTCCGCTGGCGTTGCTGGGCTTTGTCATATGCGTCCCCTTCTTGTTTCTCTGAGGGAGGCCCAAAGGCCGCAGAAGGAGACGTATATCTTGATCCGACACGAGAAGAAGAAGCTGTAGCAGCAAAGGTGGAATGCGTTGCAACGGACCCAACCACCGGGTACTTGGTTGGGGCCTTTTCATGTATGCGGCTGGAAGGGTCAGACCAGAGCCTTGGGGGCGTGCCCGAGGCTCTAGACGCTACAGGCGTTCAAGGGGCCCCCCACGCGGCTTTGGGTGGCCTTGCAGTTGCTGCAGCAAGGGCAATCGACGAGAGAGTACGGCTTGGGATGCAGCAGCACCTGCAGCTGCTCACTGTAGCATGGCCCACTCTATCAGACAGTTGAGAAGTTCACCTGCCTTCTCCTCATTAGGGGCTTTGTTTCGACCCAGTTTGTTAGAGCTTTAGGGGAGGGAGGCCCTCCTTGTACTTTTGCAGGCCGTCGGGTCCGCATAGGTCCTTGGCTAGCTTAAGGGACCCCTCAGTGGCTACGCTTTCTTTAAACGCAATCCTCATGAAGACGACGTTCTGCAGCGCCTGTACACACCACTATATCTATTGCCTAGCCCTCCTCCACCCACCAAATATGTAGAGCTGCCTCCTGAGCTTGCCCCACTCTACGTGTTGACACTTCTGGCTTGTCCTTTTCCTTCTATCTCTGTCTCCCGCGCGTGGCTAGCTAAGCATACCATCATTTTGCTGACTGTTTATTTCCCTACGTCCCAACTTGCCAGTTTTCCCAACTGTTCGAGACGCGTCCGTCTGGCTCAGTCTTAGCCAGTTTCCTTGGCATTCGGAGGCAGGTGGGTAAGGGGACAAGGGCGAGCCCCGCATATTTGCGCATCAATAGAGCCACCCCTAAGCAGCGTCCCCACAACCAAGCGCTTCGGTGCACTGAAAAGAAGGCCCCCCTACCCAACTCCCTGCTGTGCAAGACACTTGAGAAGCACGTACGGAGGAGAGACGCCGACGCTGCATTATATGTAGAGCCTCCGGGGACCTTAGATCCATTTGGATCCGCCCCCCTGCTGCCTAGGGTTTCCTTGTCTCATGAGAAACCCTTTCACAAGACTCCCTATCCATGCTTTACAGCATCTACAGGAATCCTTCCCATGCTGCTCTACTGGGGGGCAAGACTTTGCCGCACTCCACTCAAATTGCTAAGGGCCCAAGCGCAACTCCTTAACCCCATACATAGTGATGTGGGGGGGCCCCTAACTGCGACTAACAGAACGGCTCCTCGCCTTTCTCTCCTGCCTCTCAGGGGAAGGCGACCTAACGCCACAGCAACAACAACGGCAACGCTGCAGCACTACTGTCGGGGAGTGCACGTGCAGCCGCAATCGTACCAAGACACCAGAAACTCAGCAGCAGTACACCCTCGCACTTCTTCAAAGTGCGTCCGCCTCTGTAGTGCTCCTCAGAAGGCTCTCTAAGAGCCATGTGACCTCGTAAGACCCTTTGCTAGACAGGAGGGGCAACAATAGCATCAAGCTCCTCACCTCCTCGGGCTTCGGCTATGACTGCGGCCACGCCGCTCTGCAAAGAGATACCGACGCAACAAACCCTAAAACGCTCAACACCTGAAAGGTGTCCTTACAGCGAGCTAACTAAAGAGCGGCGTGTCAGCACCAGGCCTCACTTCTGTCGACTTCTCCGGGTGCGCTTGCCTCGGCTTGCTTCTGCTCCTTCCGCGCTGCAACAGCACTCACGGAGACCATTTGCAACTCTCAGATAGTCCACCCGCTGTGAGCAGTACGCAGCGCTGCGGCTAGAAAGGATATGCATAAGCTTAAGGAGGCGTCCAGCGCATAGGCCAGAGGACCGTGCTGCTGCCGAATACTGAAGTTTGCCTTTCCAGCATATTTTTGAGAGCTTCCTCCTATCTGATTTGCCACTAGACTCTAGACTTTACCCTGGTGGCGCTCATGCGTCTTCGACGATAGCTCAACCCTCAGAGTCTTCCCATCCAAAACCCCCTGCAGCCATACACCGTTACCAATAAGCGTCGAGCTGTCAGAACTTCCTGGAAACTGATCCGTCGGTGTAAGACACTACGGGGTGCTCGAAAAGTGCCTTTGCGTGCTGGGGAATGCGCGCATTGTGCTGCTTTGGCCCTAGCGACAAAAGCGTAATGGACCGTGCGCAGGGAGAGGAACACAACATGGCCGCCTTATTCTAGACTTTGCAATGAAGCCCCTTAGGTGACGCCATGTTTAGGACGGAGACTTAACGTACCCCATGGAGGTATCGGACTGCATTTTCGGCCTCTCTTTGTGAGTCAAACTCTACGTAGGCATAGCCCTTGGGAATTCCAGCCTTCTTGTCCAAAGCAATTTCACAGGAGCGAATAACGCCATACAGGCCAAAGACTTCCCGCAGGTGGCTCTCCTTCACATTCCGAGACAGGGACGACACGTTTAGCGTGCACGAGCGATCGCGGCGCATCCTCGAAAACTCTGCAAAGTACTCGATCCGCTTAGGACGTTGCGTTTCAACGCAAGAACCTGGGCTTAGCCTTTCGGAATCGCGGAGCGCAGGGATCGGGGAGGACGACCAGATGGGGCCTACAGTGTATGGAGGAAGTATTGCGGGCCTTGAGCGATCGCATATAATGAGCGGATGGCGAAAGAGTTTGCCGCAACAAGTGCAGAGACTATCGGCGTGGTTTTAAGGCGACTTGGAGCCGTTCTACAAGACCCAGGCGGGAAAAGTAACGCGCTGAAGAGGTCAGCGCTAAGGGGGAAGCACAAGCATGGAGGCCTAAATTGAATGTCCTTTCTGCATCTAATTTTGAAGCCGGGTGTTTGTTTATGGGTCGAACGTTCTGAGGTGTCTAGCAACAATACAAGCATGCAGGGGGGCCCCATGCCATGCCCTAAGCCCCGGTTGCCCTGTCGTTCGTGCTATCTTGTTTAGGCACTCTTGATTCATATTTATTGTTCTTTTTTGCTGATATCTCGCATGTTCCCCAGGGGCCCCCTGAAGCAAGTCCAAAAAGGGGGCCCCTCAAAGCCGCCCACCCCGACTTCTCCTTGCAGGGAAAACTTCAGCACCTCCGGAGCTTCTACCCCAACCCTCGAACCTCTACGCCAGACCCCGAATTGCACAGCCGCAGTCAGCAGCCTCCCTTTCTGGACTTGGCCACCTCCTAGGGGATCGGAGGGCTGGGAATGTAGGGTTTGGTGTTCAGGCTATCCATGAATCCGCTAGCAAATGCTGTTGCGCAGGGGCCCCCAACTTGGACCCCTGCAGCTCCAATCCCCCTCCGGCCTCCAGCTCCCAGCGGTGGCGTAATGCCTTCGGCACCTCCGCCGATGGGGGAGGGCCCCCCAGCTGTGCCTCCAACCCCGGGGTGTCCTGTTAGGGCCCCTCAGACGGGGTTCAAAGGGGGCCCCCCTGTGGAGGCCCCTGCCGGCGGACTGCGTGCTACGCCCCGCGCTCGGCCCCCCGTATATCCAAGGATGCCACGGCCTCCGCCTCCGTTACAGCAACATAAGCAGCAACAACAGCAGCCTCAACAGCAACAACAGCAACAGCTTCAACAACAGCAACAGCAACAGCTTCAACAACAGCTTCAACAACAGCAACAACAACAGCCTCAACAGCAACAACAACAGCCTCAACAGCAACAACAGCTGCCTCAACAACAGCAACAACAGCAACAGCTTCAACAACAGCCACAGCCTCCACAACAGCCACAGCCACAACAGCAACAGCTTCAACAGCAGCAACAGCCTCCACAACAGCCACAGCCACAACAGCAGCAACAGCCACCACAACAGCCACAGCCTCAACAGAAGCTCCAACAGAAGCAACGACAGCAGCGCCAACAGCCGCAGCCACGGGTGGTTGCAGGGTCTATAGGGAGTGGGGCCCCCTCGGGGCCCCCCCGGGAGGGCAAAGCAGCGCGGCAGCGGGTGTCTTCCCACGGCTTGCCTCCCGCTAAGCGTAAGCGGGGGGGCTGCAAGCAAAGCAGCAACACCAGAAGCGTAGGACAGCAGCAGCAACAACAACAGCAACGCCGTCAAGTGGCGTGTGTGACGAGTGCAGAGCTGGGGAGGCGAGGCCGGGATCGGCTGCTGTTAGACTATGCGCAGCATTTTGTCGACACGGGGGAGCGACCTCAGAACTTTATTCGAGATGTAGAGCCCGAAAAGAGGTTTAACGCGTATTTCAGGTACTTCCGAAAAGCCTCAAGTTCATGCGTTCTGGTTGCAGAGGAAGGGACTCGCGTAAGGGGCGAGCGGTGGTTCAGAGCCGTTTGGGGGACTGCGTTTGAGTGCTCGTTGCTCAGGCTCAAGGAGCTCATGGAATTGAAGCGTCAGGTTATTAGAGCTAGGGCAACTCCAGCCCAGTGCATTCGAGTGAGGCGGCCTTTAGCGTCATGAGACTTTGTGGCTGGAGGCTTACAGGATGCGTAGAGTGAAGGCTTCCCAAGGGGCGCTTGTTCGCACAGTGCAGGCTTACCACCGTCTAAAGCTCTAGGACTCTGCTCACGTTGAGCGCTGTTGACAGTCTGCTACGCATGCGCTTTGCGCTGCTTTTGAGGAGGAAGGGGGGGTGGGGGTTGGAGGTCGGGATGCCTGCCTTTTCTCGTGGGTGTGCTGCGCCTTTGAATGCGAGCTTGACTGTGGGCGATTCTGCGTCTAGAGGGCCTTTCTGCGCAGTGCTTTAGTTTGCGTGCCTCGCCAGGCCAGACACTGTGTCGACGGCCATGTGCGCTGTACCTACTCGGGCTTTGCATACTCGGGTGCAAGGCTCTCAATAAGGTTCTTAGCTTCTTGGAATGACGGTGCATGCATTCATGCATGCAGGCCGACTTGCGGACCTTTGATTGGGCTACTTTGCCGTGTCAGTTCGACGTGATTCTTGTGGATCCTCCATGGGCGGAGTATGCGGAACGGTCTGTGGGTGCCCAGCGTCCTACGGAAGACTTGAGGCCTTGGACCGTTCAAGATATCATGGCGGTGCGCCTTCCGTTTCGGTCGGTGTTGTTTCTGAGCCACGAGGGGGGTGTGCGTGTTTGTTTGCGCTTTGTGGGGCTTCTTCCCGTGCTTTTGTCTTGCGTCTTATGCAGGCAAAAGGGCCTTTCGTGTGCGTTTTTGCCGCTGTGCCTTTGCAGCTGCCGATTGAGCAGATCGCAGAGTCACAGTCTTTTTGTTTTTTGTGGTGTGGCGTAAAGCATCTTGAAGAGGCTCGAGACGTCCTCTCCAAAGTGGGTGCTGAATGGCAGTCGCTGCATGGAGGGGGGTGCATCAACACTGAGGGCAATTCTTGAAGCGAAGAGGTCGCGCATCGAAAGACTTAGATTTGCAGGCGGAGGATCAACGGCAGGGGCAGCATAAAGGGCAAGCAGTGCATGCCTTGTGTCTTGATCCTTGTGCCGTCCGCCGCTGGGGGCCTCCTCTTCTCCGTCCTGGTATTTAGCACCTCATGCACTTTCGGAGCGTCTGTGTTCTCTCTTTTTTGCCGGTGGGCCTTCGTCTATTGCGTGGCGCGCTTCCTCCTGCCGGCTGCACTCACTTCGTGCAGACCGTGTGTCTCATGCGCCTGCTGCTGATGTGTGGCCGCAGTGGGGCTTTCGCCGCTGCGAGGATATCTGCTGGGTGAAGAGCAATAAGGGGGCAGCACTGCGTCTGGAGGCTCAGAAGTCCCCTGCTCCGCACGCCGTCCTGCGTGATGAGTCTTCGTTCCTGCAGAGGACCACGGAGCACTGCCTTGTCGGCATAAAGGGCCTTGTCAGGAGATCTCAGGTGTGTCTCTAAGGCCAGCCACTCACCATCACCGCCAAGTAGTCGCCTTGATGGGCACCTTCTGTGACGCGCGGTGTGGCGACACACACCCACTGCTAACAAGACGGAAAAAAACACCTAGACACTTAGCGGGAGATCCTAGGCGTGGCAGCTCTCTCTACTGTTGTACGCAACCTGCGCTTCGTCCTTGTGTCTCTTGCCACTCCCTCGTCCTCCGGCGTTTTTGCCTCGCCTTGCTTCTTCCCTCCCCGCTTATCTCCTGTCTTCGCCCCATGTGTCTGCGGTAACTGGCGTCTCCTGCCTCCTCCTGCGCAGGACGGGCACTTGATTCACGCAAATCTGGATGCTGACGTGATCGTTTCGGAGGAGCCTCAGGATTTGTTTTCCACGGAAAAGCCCGCAGAGCTTTACGACATCATCGAGAGATTTTGCTTGGGGCGCCGAAGGTTGGAGCTCTTTGGCTTGCAGCGCAACGTCCGAGACGGTTGGCTCACCATTGGATCAGCCATCAGGGAAACAAATTTTTCTGCACAGCTGTAAATCTGAAGAGCGCACCAGTGAAGCGCCCTCTTCGGGCGCCTTCTTTCGCTTTCTGTCACTCGCCCCCTTAGCCGCAATGCATTTCGATTTCCCTGGCTACTTTGTGTTTGCTGTCATCCGCGGAAGGGCACAGTAAATGGGCCGGGGGGCAGACGGAGGGAGCTCTTGATGCACTTGGAGAAAGCACATACCACACGCTTCTGCCTTTTTTCCGTTCTGCTTGTACCTCTTAGCCATGCACTCTGCCGGCTCTCAGCCAACTTTGCTGCCCTCACGAGGCGCGACGTCTCTCTTTCCTCCGTTGTCTTGCACACACTTTTGTTTCTGCCTTCCTCTTTGGTATTTGTGCTACCCGTTTGCATCGCTCGAAGCTCGCCCGTCTAGGAAGACCCCTTGACCGTCTGTCTGTGTGTGTTTGCTCTGAGCTTTTTTGTGTCTAATGCCCACTGTCCTCCTTGGTTCTGCCGTGCCTGCTTTTCTTGCCGCAGCTACGCCTCCTGGTTCGCTGGAGACACCTCCTACCCTGAAGCCCAAACCTATCAAGGGGGCCGCCTGCTGGGGTCCACTGAGGAAATCGAGTCTCTGAGGCCGAAGTCTCCCCCTAGGGAGATCAGGCCTACACAGCAACAACAGCAGTAGCTAAAGCGAAGAGACACTCGATTGCGACGAGCTTCAACAGACATACCAACCGCAGCCATAACAGCAGGTGCTGCAGGAGGGCTCATCATTCGATGCTCAGCTTGCAGGAGCGGCAACAGCAAGTACGTCTTGCCGCTTCATGCAGCACCGTGTCCGCTCGCCTGCGGCCCCCTGGAGCTCCATGTGGACCGACATGCAAAGAATACCAGTGGACACTACAATTTTCCTGGTCAGCTAGTTGGTCGGTATGCAGTGACCAAGATGTGCGCCTTCGCGCGTCATTAATTTTTTACTAAAGCTGCTCTCCATGCATTTCAGCCTAGTGAGGGCCGGTCGAGCGTCGGCCTCACGCCGCGCGCAAAAGGCAAGCATGTTCTTGGCGTTGCAAGAGTTAAGTAGGCTTACACAACTCTTAGTCAGCAAAGTCAAGTTCGCACTGTGGCGTGCCCCGTGGGCAGAGTGTCTAGTTGGACTTCACTAGTTAAGACACAAGCGGTAAAACAAACGTGTAGCCGACAGCATCTGCCTCACTGTTCAGCTGAGGTTGCCAAAGCCCCCGGTGACCGCACTGAGGCCTTCAAAGTTTCCCCTTAAGGCCTCGGAGCAGCATATAAGGCAGGCTCAGTCTAGTAGGCTTTGCAATATGACACACTTTACCAAGCGAGATGGGAGACTGAAAAGTCTCGGACTACACGGGGGAGACGGCTGCGGCAGATGTTTCTGGTCTTCGGCACACATATCAGATCTGACCACAAAGCAGCTAAAAGCCTCATTGGCAAATAACTCTCAACAAGGCAACCGGCTAACCTCTTACCCTGTTGGACAGCTAGCTCACGGCTCTTTTCGCTCCCTCGGGGGCCTCTTCCTCTAAAAGGCATTCCCACTGCGACTGCTGCTGTCCTCGTCACTTTTGGTGGGCTGTCGCGCCACTTTGGGCGGTGCCCACCACGCAGGGGACCTTTAGGGTGATACTCCAGTAGCCGTTGTCACTAGAGATGTACGTTGAGGTTTCCATGGCAACGGATAGATTCGCTACGCTGCTGCCGACGAGACCCGAAGTTGCTGCAGCACTCGCAGCCAACAGGTTCCCTGACCCCAAGCACGCTGGCTTGCCGCGTTTTCTCAGGCCGCTATCTGCCGCTTTTGTTGCAGCTGCTGGTGGGCGTGTCTCTGTTGTGCAGATGCAGCAGCGGCTTGCTGCTGCTGCTGCTGTAACTGCTGAGCCGCGACGGCCCTGGCGGTGGCTCCCCCTGCATACTTCCTGCTGAGATGCAGAGCGAAGCCGAAGCAGCCCATGACGTGAGCAATCTTCCACAGCTCAGAAACAGTGGCGAATGGGACCCTGGAGAAGGCGATTTTGTGATTCTCCAGTTGCTGGCCCCAATGCGCCACATCCGAATGATACAACTGGCGTAACCGTCGCAAGAGCTGATTCCTCCCCTCCGTTCCGAACGGCAGGCGGAAGCCTTCGTGCCACTGCACAGACTCATCACCTGGAGGAGGAGCAGACAAGTCTGTTTCGTCCTCTATGGCCAAAGGGGAAGCCCCAGGGCCTCCAGGAGGACTCGAAGAACCCCCCCCTCCGCGACAAGCGCCTCGCAGCTGGCTGGAGCGCCGTCGGCTGGTCATGCTGCTTCGAGTGGGAGACACCAACGCCGGGCAAGGCGGCGTAAGAGGCGACTGAAGAGAAGACTGTCCAGTGGTGGCAGGAGAGACTGCTGCTGCTGCTGCTTCTGTGTCAGGAGCTTGTTGCGGGTGCTCCCAGTTGCGACGCCGAGCGTTTCTGCGGCGAGGACGTAGCACCCCTGCAGCACCACCAGGGGAGGGGCTGCGTGTGTCAGCCTTGCCCAGCTGCTGAGCAGAGGGGGAAGGCATACAGTCCAGAGGCTGGAACGGCGGTTGCTGCGGAGTCATAGTGGCGGCAGGGGGAGTGATCGGGGAGCCTAAGAACGTCTCTCCTGGGCAGCAGCAGGACCCCATAGGTTGTTGCTGCTGCTGGTGTAAAAATGTTACCGTTCCATCGTCTAGGGGGGGGGCAGCTGAAGCCTCCTCTCCGGCGGTACCAACCGTAGAAGAGGCTTCAGCGGCGGGTAGCAGGCAGCTACCCCCAGAGGCTCCCCCCACCGACTTGAGTTTCTGAAATTTGCGGCACTGCACCTGGCGCCACTCGATGGCTGCGTAAAAGGCCCCGAGGGTACCCCAACGCCCCGAAGAGAATCGCTTTTTAAACTGGTTGCCTCGGAAGTAGACTGAGGCGCACCAACGCTTCTGCTGCCTTTCCAGCTGAATGCCTGCAGCAAACACCAGAGCATTTCAGCGCCAGAATCGAGATGAAGCTGCGCACAGAATACGCCGCGGTGACAGCAGCCACGAGAGGTGCTCCAAGCAGCGGACAGCGAATGCAATGCACATACAGACACACCAGAGGACAAGAACCCTTGCTTCAGCTGCAACCTTGGCGGCATACAGAACACAAGCAGCTACACCCCTAGGAGCATGAGCAGCAGCCATCGCAGTGCCCTTTTTACCTGGGAGGTTGTCAGGATTCGGATTTGCGGGAAGATGCTTCCTTATACAATAGTCAATAAAGTCTGGGGTCGGGTGCTGAAATAGGGAGTCGGTGACGGCGTCTTTCGGATAAGCTACCGCTGAAGCTGAAATCGGTGAGCTGCTGCCAGTATCGTTCGGAGCGCCTGCATTGCTGTTGCTCCCTGCCGCCACTGCTGCGTCTGCGGTGTCTTTACGCCGCGCAACTTTCGAATGCCGAGGAAGGACATCTTGCTGCTCTTCCTGCGGTTGTGCCTGTGGAGGCAGCCCTTGATTCTCTACACTGGTTGTCTGCGCATCACCTAGCGGGTCTATGAGGGGGGAAGACACCGCGGGGCAGCAGGAAGGGGGCGCTGCTGCTGCTGGTGTGGTGGTGGTTGGAAGAAGCGAGGTGTCATCTGGCGATCCTTGCGAATTAGCCGACGGCCATTGCTGCTGCTGAGAACCCGCGGCAACGAAAGAAGACAATACGCCATCTGCTGTGGATCCGGAGAGGTCTGAATCCTCAGTAACTGTGAAGGTTGAAGAAACGGGGATGCGTATCAGCGTGCCGCTGGGTTGAGGCCCTTGCCTAGTGGCTTCGTCCTCGTCCTTCACTTCGCCTTTGTCAGCGCTCTCCCCTTTAAGCACTGCTGCTGCAGCTAGCGGATGCCGCTGCTGCTCCTGCTTCGGCCATAGCAGGGAACGGGGACTCTGCGCGACGGTTCCTCCAGACGCCGCGTGCTTGTTGGAGGCAAGAAGGCCCTCTATGATGGGCGGCACTTCCAAAGACGCGGCAATGGCGGACAAAGGAGCACCCTCGTCGCCTTCAACACCGAGAGCTGGAGAAGGCCCCTTCATGCCCCTGTGAGGGCTTTGGCCCCCCAAGCCAGTGGTGAGGCGCCTCCGCGCGAGTGCAGCCGCGGCCTCTCCCAGGAGGCTTCCATCGAGGTTGACCCCATTCGTTGGACTACAGCCGGTTGAAGAGGATAGGAAACCTTCTCCTTGACACACTTCCCCATCAGGAAGCCCTCCTCTCATGGGGGAACAAAACGGAAGGGACAGACTCCGTTTTTCCCCGGCGTTCGCTGGGCTCATTGATTGCGTGAAGGGATACTGAGGGGACCCCACGCGCTGTGGAGGCCCCCCAAGTGAGTAGTCGGGAAAGCGCAAGGGTAAAAGTAAGCCTCCCACCGAAGAGGGGCTGTTTGCTTCGCAAAGTAGCGCCTCTGCCCCAGAGGCCGTGCTGCACGGGGACGGTCCCTGGCTATCATCGCCTGTTGAGGGCGGACATCCCCGATGTTTGGGGACTCCTGTAAGTATGGAGACGCAAGGGAGCCACATGGTTCAGAGAGAAGTCCCCTTGGCAGCTGAGCGGTCAACGGCCACAGGAGACAATCGGGGGGAGGGGGGGCTGGGTCGCGACAAGCACTGTGTATGCTTCTTCCCTCGTTGCTGCTCCAATCGCTGATAATTTTTGACAGCAAAAAGAAGGCGAGCTGCACGGAGCAGAGGGAGTGCCCAAAAGTCCAGACTCCTATAAGGCCCAGCAGCGACAGGGGGCGGGACAAGGGCACGTTCAGATGAGGGCCCGGTGGTAGGGCCCCCCTAGGAGAGAATAACACTATATAAAGCACGCACAGCCTAAGGAGTAGCAAAACCCGAACTCCGGTCTCGAGCTTGTCTTCGATCTTTACCCAGGACGCCCCTTGGAGGCGGCATCATGAAGCTGGGGGTGCGTGTTTCGCTGTCTTGGGGGGAGCGGTGGGGTCAGTGGGGGGCGACAAGATTTCGATATGCAGGGCTAAATCTGGATTTCTTACTGCTTTACTCCTCTCAATAGATATTTTTAAATAATATCAAAATAGATCTGGCAGGGCCACCCGCAACTTCGGCGGTTTTTTCTTCGACTTCCGCGCAGACCGCTGCCCCGCAGGACGAACGGCCTTCGAGCTCAGCGGCCACCGAGCTTCCCGCTTTTGTGGTGATTTCAGGGCTCTTTTGCACAGTGCTGAAGGGAAGTGGAGTGACAAAGCACTTAACATTTGAGGGGGCCTTACATCAGCTCATCCATGGGCTTGTGCTTCGAGTCACATAAGGAAAGGGGCCGATCTGCTGGGAGCCTCAGCCAGAGAGCCCCCCTCTCCTGACTAGGCTCTTGGTGGGCCGCACAACCAGCTCTACCCTCTTTTAATTGCCTAAAGGCGCTCCGATGCTAATACTTTTCAGTTCTTCTTACAGTGTGTAGTTGGGTAGGCTGCGCTTCAACACTTTCTACGACACTACTCATCTTTGGCCAAGGATTAGTAGACAATTGGCTAATTGGCTTGTATGCTCATATCTCTCGTTCTCTGTATAGAAATGCTAGCTCTACTCAGGAAGACCCTATATTGCTTCCGTATTCGCTTGATGCCTCGTGCAGATCCCTGTTTATGCACGGAGTGCTTGGAGGGTGCACCTAAGCCCACCACAGCTACCTCTTTCCTCTCATACAACGCTGAGGACTGAAGGCAGAGAAAGCAGGGAGTGCTTTGGGAAGCATTAAATAATTCTCTTTCAAGAGTGTGTCGAGTGTAGGGTTAAATGTCCCTCTTCCGACACCTTAGATGGTGTGCTGCAACCTGTACTAAAGGTGCCCTTAGTAAGCACGGAAGAGAATTGCACAACTGCCGTCAACTTAGCCTTGCATATTTTGCTAAATGGGTGGTCAGCCAGGATACACTGGATAAACACTGAAGCAGTCTCACCCAGCTGGAGGTAGGTTAAGAGCTCCAGTATCTTTTTACTACACCTCCCTGCCAGAAGCAGGGGCCGTAGCGGTCTCCACAGCAGCATGTGTCGGAGAGAACAGTCGAATTGTGGCAGCTTATCAAGCTCTTGTCCGTAGTGGATGATAGCCACAGTAAGGACGCAAACTGATTCCAGCAAGAAATCATTATTCACCTAAATACTCTAGAGAAGCGTCGCCCCCAGGAGGACGATCGCCATCAGTAACACTTTATTCCGCGCCTAATTAGTGTAAAGAACCGTGAAACTAGGGAGTAAGTGCGCTATCTTCTAGGAGGGGAGGAACGACGTTGCTCGGACGAGGTGCGTCACCACGAAGAATGAAGGCCCTCCGAAAAAATATGGAATGGCGCAAAGCCATGTTTTTTATTCAGCGAATGAAATAGCCTACAAATGCTCCTTCATTCTAAACACCTTGAGTGCTGAACTCAGACTTGCCTTCAAACCACGTGCCTTCCAGGGCATGAAGCACCTAGAATGGCTGCCAACGGTGGACCGATATCGTTTCAACTTGGATTTTCCAGATTTTGCAAGCACTGATACTGCCCTGAAGCTTCTGCGAGGAGACGCTTGTGCTTACTTTTGTTTGGCTCAGAGCTACGAAAACCAATTAACCACATGAGAAGATTGCCGTTCATTTTTTCTCGACCTTTTTCGCAACAAGGATTTGGTAAAATTTTGAGTCAACCAAATGTTTTTAGATGTAACAGCTCTTCATGTAACTCTGTTGTGCAGTTTGCCTCAAATCTAGCTCATGCTGCAACAATTCCGAATGCAGAATTAGTCGCTATGTTCAAATCAGGATCCCTTCAGACTTAGCTGCCTGCCTGAGGTTGGCTGATCTCCCTACTTCGACGCACACTGCACATGAAAGCTGCATTCACAGAGAAACAATAATTTGCTTTCTCAGCCAACAGAGCTCCGCAACACCTCTTGAATCGCGCTGAACGTCTTCTGGGCCTGCTACCAAGTGCATTTTAACGCCCGCCAAAAAACCTTCTCTAGTGAAGATAGCCATCGCAACCTTCCAAGTAAAATAACAAGAGAGTTAGCCGGTAAACTCGAACATGTAGATGGCAGCGCTGCGATAGAAACTTTACAGACTTGCGCCCCCAGGCAGCCAAACACGGAACCATTGCCCGCAGATTTCGCAACAGTCTCTGCACTCCGAGTCAACAAGTTGCGCAAGGACTATTTCAGCGCCTGCTACTGAAGCAAGGAAGGATGCAGCTGTTCTTAACTGGTATCTCAGGTACCGGAAAATGGCAAGGCCTAGGCTTCAATAGGCATCTAGGTCCAAAGACAGACGGCAAACATGAGCAAAACTCACTTTTTAGCACTACAGGAACTTGAAATTTTAACAGATCCGGCAATCAATTGATGCCAGCCTTGGCCTCTTCCTGTTGCCCTAGAGAAGCTGTGTCAAGCTCACATTTTCCGAGCGTCAGGGTCTACTCGTCTGTTGGTGCACTAGGAGGATGATAGGAGCGATTCTTGCCAAGCTCTAATCACGGCGATTCCTCCCCCTCTATCAGAGGGTATATTGGTGCTCCAAGCAGAACTAGTGTGCTAAATTACTTTGGGAACGCGTCCTTACAACAGTGGCATTCAGGAGTTGAAGTTTACTTGCCATGAATTAATGCTTGCGCAGCGGTGCGGTCAGGCTACGGACGAAGGGCTGCTTATCACTTGCTCCGGCTCTATCGGTTCTTTAAAGATCACTCAATCATTCTAACTTGTGTCGGAAATTACCATGAATTTTCCAGGAGTATTATTACGAGTAGAAGTCGATAGCTCGTTAGTGCATTCTGGCCCGCCATTGTGGCGCGCCTACAATTAGGCCATGAATTGAGGCCTGCGAAACATTCGCAGGCTGCTTAGCAAACAGAGCCAAGCAGCCGCACATTCCTGTAGTGTTTGCAACTCTAAAGCTCTCACAAATACAATTGCTTGGCCTCCTTTTCTCTCCTCCACTTAGCGGGTCTGCAATACAACAGCATACTCTTCTACCCGTTTCTCCCCCCCATCCCTGGCTCACCCTAAGGAGCTCCTTTCCAATCAGTGAGTGACTGTGGTGGTCCAGAGTTAGCAGTTCTTGATTTCAGGGTAAGAAGCTAGAAAACGACTGGCTGGAGCACGCGAATGTATGCGCAAAGCCCAGAAGAGGAGACCAAGAAATTCTTATACGCAGAGGTCGGGTGTGTGTTTCAAACCTGGATAGTTGGTTCTGGCTGATTGGAAGGCTCCACCAGCTGCAAGGTAAGCAAAGGAAACTTGCGGCTGTGTGGCTAGGATGATTTGCGATGTTTTAGTGAATCAGTGTTCTTCATTGCTCTGTTGCCTCTCATAAAACTTCAAGGTGCAGGGGAAAAATTGTTATAGCCTACCTGTAAAACTTCTAATCTGCCCCAATTATTCGCAGACTTTTCCAAACAGGCAGCGATTCTAAGATCATAGCGCTTGGGATACACTACACCGGACCTCCTGTGCACTGAGCTTGGGAACACCAACCTTAGTGGTTGACAGAGGAGAAGCTGCGTCCTTCGTTGCGCGCAGGAGAATGTGCAGCTGTGTTTGGCCCGCACCCATAGGCACCAAGGGAGGCACCGCTTGCGCTTTTGGGTTTCTCTCCCTTGGCTCGTGCATGCTCTGCCTCAAACAGGCAAATTCGTTGATGTATATTGTTTGAAAAGGTGCCAATTATTCTCAATTTATTCTCAACCTTGGATACATGCGCAGGCACTCTGGGGTATGTTTGCTTTGAGTTATTCCTTACGCGCTTTATGAGGCTTTATAATCGACTTTGCTACACGCATTAATTACTTATATAAGAGAGTGCCTCCTCAGCAGAGACCAGGGATGCGGGAGAGCAACGTGTATCCGAATTCGCTGATGAATCGAAGCTTACTCAGTAAAAGTACGGAAGTAAAACCAAGCAATTGCAGTTAGGAAAGCATAAAATCGCAAATACTGCCAAAGAGTGCGATGGTGGGCTCTCTTTGCCCATCTGCCTGAGGATGATTCGAAGTAGTCAGATCATTGGCAAGATTTGTTTGCTGGTCATAGTGGCCAGAAGGCACTAAGGAGCTGGGGAATCCTATTCGTAATGATACTCGCAGGAAATTAGGGGAGGTGATATATATCGATCAAGAATAATTGAGCGACTTTCGGAGCCTGTGACAGAGCAAAAGCAAGTGATAAAATGGGCATATTTGATGGGTCTATTGGCAACGACGTAGATGCTTTCTTAACCCTTAGAACCCGGCAGTTCAGCAGTGGTGACCACAGGTAGATCGGTTCACATCCAAGGGGGAAAAGGAAAGCGTTGCAAAGAGCTCGGTTTAAAAGAAATAACTGGCTTCAACCGCCAAAACTGAGGGCATTCCAGTGCATGCTCTTCTGCTGGACGCACCTTCGGCCACCAGAAGGACCGGGAGAGCTTCTCAAAGGAGTGTACGATCCTCCATCCCAGAAAGAAAAGGACAAAGGGCTTTGCGCAAAAAGGCATTGCGAAGCAAAGACCAGATTTACAAGCGACGGAGATCTCGCTTGTTTTGAGCCGCAGCAAGTAGTCCCTTAAACTCTTCGTCCTTTAGCCGCCCGTCATTCTGCATTTGAATGAAAAGAGGATGCATTGATGACGAAGCATAGAATGCACGTAACTTCAAAAACCGGAACCACTACACACAATAGCGGCTGTGCTGCATAAGTGTGGACCGCAGAGGCGTTGCAAGAGCATCTTGGTGACTGCGTTGGTGATGCCCTCAATGTAGTACATTGGGGAGTCATACCGCGGAAGGTACCTAAGCCAGCAACAAATCTAGGATTATACCTTCTCCAAAGAGGTGCATAAACGACTGCTGGCTAGCTTTAACCGTAAAATGGCGACCAGTTTGTGAATGAAACATTTAAATGGTTGTACTAGAGACGGTGCATATGATGGATGGCTCTCTGCACTGATGACGCCTTCTATTTAGCTCATGGGTCCAAGAGCACGTACAGAACCTAGGGGATTAGGCTCAGCTGTTGCAAGGTACACAGTGTTATATGAAGGCACGTAAGTGCTAGTTTTTCTTTAACACAATGGTTCTCTTGCAATTTCGTGTTTGACCAGCAGGAACTGAGTCAGATGTGACAAAAGTTGAAGCAATAAATAAGTAGCTTTACGCCCCTGTGAGGACACTACAACGCTCTATTGGCTTACAGCTAATTACCACAATTTCATTTTTGAGTTTGCCAGGATCATTGCGTTCTTAGGCTACTTGAGAAAACTCAGTTTGTGACCTGAAGAGGGAAGGCTGATGCATTGCAGCTATGTCAAAGCATCAAGTTTAAAAGTGTCATAAAGGCATTCTCAAGCTTGCGTATGTAGACGATTATTTCGTGCAGTTTGTCAATGACTTTGGCAGGCTGAGGCGTCAGGGTCGTCTGCTTCGCAGTGACCATTTTCAGCAGGCAGAAGTTAACACAAGTGCATCAACTTTCGTTCTTTTCCGGTACCAGCCCGAGGGTGTGCCCCAAAGCACCGAAAGGCTTCTGAATTTGCGCGTTTTTGGCAAAACATTAGCCTCCCAATAGTGTGAAACTACTGAAATCGCTCGTCCAGCTATTTTCCGCAGTCGAAAATGTGCTCTCAGCACGTAAATTAAAAGAACTAGGGGCGCTGTGCGTCTGTAGTCTATCCGAGGTTTTAGTTTCTACAAAAAGTTAGTGCAAATGCATGGCCACCTATATCGTTAGTACAGAAGGACCTTGCGCTACTGTAAACTTCATGGGGACGCTCGTTATGCCACATTTCCTCTATAATTTCACGGTATTGACTCATAGTTAAGCTTAGCAAGAAAATTTAGTTTAATTCTGGACAAGATTAAAGGATAAGAAGCCAAAAATTTTTCGCTGGCTAGCTGCTTGTTGCAGAAGTGGCACTTCCGTTCACTGGCCAATAAGGAGCTATCAACCCAACCACCCAACTTGGGCTATGTACAACAGTGCATGCAAAACCTATCGTTGACGACAGAACAGTCGTTAAGTGCTGATTTTGTGTAATGTTAGCTCCTACCCTGTGGCACTGAATCAAGTACCGAGGATGCTTTGTTTTGGTGCTGCAGTTTGTTTTCCAAGCGTGCAGCAGCCGGCAAAGTGCGCGTGAAAAAGCGGAGAACCACATATGGAACACTTGCATGGAATGGTCCCAGTGTTTCCTAAAACATGCTAAAATTGATGCTTTTCTAAAGAAAAACTATTCAAGGAATTTAAGGCAAACTGAGCAAAGTAATTACATTGAAGATCCTTGCCACACCACCGTTTTGGGAAAGGCTCGCGCAAGCATCAGAACACACCAATAATCGTCATTCCAAGAGCGGGTTGTCGAAGAGAGCCCAAAGGCAGAAGGATAGCGGAGGAGCTACGTAGCCTAGAGATGCCGCGCGTATTGGGGTGCAGTTGAGCCTTGTGGTCCTTTGGTAACCTGCAAGTTTCTTAACCCTGCTTGATAGTGGTTACTAGGCTGGGGCCTTAGCGATAAGCTACTTCACATTTTGCAGTGCTTACAAATGTAATGTTTGGTCTCAGTCCCCAAAGGGGTCCAATCCTCTTCAGAGTCATAAAAGGCTTAATAGAAAATCATTGGGGACATGATGGCTCTTTCTTCTCTGTTCCTTCCCCTCTCAGAGTTCCTCCATAAGGTGAGAAGGGCAGTTGGAGGAGTGTTGATGCACCCTATAAGCACTCCAAGCATTCACAGCTAGTTGCGCGTAATATCTTGGGCACACGCACACAACATTGATTCGCATCGTGTTGAGCTGAAGATACTTTGCATTAAATTAGGTTTGTGAGCAGCCATACCAAAGAATAAATTCTTTAGTCAACGACCTTAGAACGCCTACTACAGTTGACGTATTTGCTGCGCGTAGCACGATAGATTTAACAGTGCATATGGTTAAATACTATCAATAGGGATGGAAGAGTGCGAGTGACTCTAGGGGGGTACCCCTGACTGCAAAGTCCAAATTCTCCATTGCTGCCGCTCATAAGGCGGATTTTTTCAGTGCTCCATCCAAGGTCCTCGTAGAAAGGCACTAAGCACCAGAGTCGATAAAAATCTGATAGGTAGTTATTGAGTGCTTCCCAAAAGAACTCCCGCCTCTCCCTGCCCACCTTCCTCAGAGTTCCCGGCATGGGAAAAGTCGACATTTCCGATGCGTTTTGCTGCTCCCTCCAAGCACTTCTAGCATTCACACTTAATTGCACATGGCATCTAGCGAATACGCATCTAGCCGTGTGTCTCCCTTAGTCAAGTTAAAAGTATTCTGCCCTGGATGAGTTACACAGGCAAACAAGCCAGCTAGTCAATTGGCTACTAATTCTTGGCTAAAACTGAGCACGGTGGTAGAAAGCGTTTCGGCGTAGCTTAGGCCGCTACAGCCCCAAGCCTAGATTGACGCAAAGGTGGGCTCCTCTAAATCACTACACGCCTCCCAAGCTGGGACATGCATGTTTATATGAGACCAGCAAGGATATGGCAAGCCATAATAAGTGTCAGCCTTCTGACTGGCTAAAGGAAGGGCTAATTTGAAGTGGCCTTGACCCCTGGGGTTGTGCACTGCCCTCAGCAAGGTAGCTCTAGAGTGTACGCTCATGTTTCTGCCCATGGAGTCCGTGGCAAAGGAAAGCCTCTCGTTTTTTTAAATAATCTAACGAGATAGATTGAGTAGAAGGGGTGGAAGGCCCCGCAAGCTACAGAAGCACTCCGTGAGGCTTTCTTGCCGGCTGGAGTAAAACAAGTTCAATGGGCCATTGCTCCTATTGTTCGCTTATTTAAAGTGAGGGGTTTTAAGGTTTGCCTTTAGTGAACCAAGCTTTAAATTTTGACGAACACAGAACGTTTTTGGCTGACCCAGTGCATGAGGGTGATCTCTTGCCGACAGAGGGACAGACGCAGCTTCTGGCCGCGTCCAGCGGTAGCCGACTAGGCAGACAGAGGACTCGCTTCGTTGCACAAACAGAAGTCGTACCCGTCATTCCATTGTCTTTATTATTTTAAAAGTTTAGGGGATTGCCCTCGTCGATGTAAGTGTGCGTAGTATAGTGGTCTTTCTTTCGGCTTGCCGCTGCTTCCCGCAGCCGACACGCTGTGGCCGACCGAGCCTTGGGCCCTCTGGCTGTTACTGCCTCAATTTCCCCCAAATTTCAAAGTCAATTTGGTTCGATCACTTTTAAGATGTCTCTTTTCATTGCAAATATTAGGCTAGCTGGCCCCTGAAGAATTGCTGGGTGACTGGCCCGAGTGGTTGCAGCTCTCTGGGCTCCATGTTCATACTGCATGATGGGGAGGACGCTGAAGATGCACACGCTGACGTACATGAGAGCTCTGAATAGCTGGTCTTGGAGTAAAAACCGTGATTAGTGCTCTTTACGGATGTTTGCGCATCTGATGCTGCTCTTCGGGCCTGGAGTGGATTATACCGTGCCCGATGTGTTCCAATGTGCGCTTACGCTGCAGATCAAACTGCTGTCTTCTCAATCTGAGGGCAGTTTTAAAGGTTTTACTGGAGTCCCAGTGCGGGTGGTTTGCATCGGGTGTCTGTGTACTCCGGGAAGATGTTCAACCTCGGTGTAGACGGCGACGATGCTGTCGTGGAGCAGCACGCCGTGGCGCAGCAGATGGCGCAGTACCAGGATCCAATGATGCAGGATGACGAGGAGCCTTCACCCAGGGGAGAGGATCACACGCCCATGATCTCTTTCCTTACTACCAAGCTCCTGCGCACATCGTTCAGTCTTAAGGCCCTCTCCATGGCGCTGATGTCGCTCTTCTTTCTCGGTTTCGGAGGCAGATGGGTCTTCACCTTCCACTCACACCCGGATATGTCCAACGGATTTCACCTCTCTATGGCCATCCTGATGCTTGTGCAGCTCGCCGGCACTCTTGGCCTGTGCCTCTTCCAGTCATTTGTAGCTGACGACTCCAAGTGCGTTCCTTTCAACACGCAAGGCCTGCTGCTAAAGCAGTCGCTTCGCAGGACCCCTTTGTCCACGGATAACAGGCCGCACTTGAGGTGTATAGAATAAACCCCAAATTTGTATTCGCTTTTTTTCAGGTGGACCAAGGGGTTCCGCACTGGCAGTAAGATCCTGTCTGCGGCGGTGACTCTAGACCTGTTGGCAGTGATGCTCCGCCTCGGAGAATATCTGTACCTGTACAACAGCCTGAGTACGCTCTGGTGGTCAAAGTTCAACATTACCAAATCTGAGTGGATTATTTTTGCTGCGGCTAACCTCCTTGATTCCATCGCCCTCACCACCTACGGCTGGGCTCTCTTCTATCTCGAATGCTACCATGATGAGGGCACTTTCGAGGAGCTTGCTTGGACCATGCTCACCCTCTTCTCCTTGGCAGGGCTTTCTAGTAAGCTTGTGTACACAGATATTGTAGATTTCATCATGGGCTTTTTGCGAAGTGCAAATGGGGTCTCGCTGCGCCTCTCTGCTTCATGGCCATGGCCATAGCCATGGCCCTGAGCTGCCACGGAACAAACCCCTGATTTCGTTGTGGATGTCTCTCTGTGCAGTGATGCTGATGATTTTCACCGGCTATGGAGCAGTTTTCATGCTGTTCTTCACCGCTGGAGCCTACGCTGTGTCTTGCTACTGGTCATTCCTCTTCGAGCCGTTGCTGCTTAAGTGGGCGCCTCAGCTGCACTCACGCGACATCAATACCGACATCATGCCCACAGAGGCCCCTCATTCGGAGTCTTACCAGCCAGTTTCTGAGTACGCGCATGAGCAGCCTCCCCAGTACATCAACACGCAAACGTTCTCATCTATGCCTGGTGGGGCACAGGGTGGCCAGGATATTCCCACACAGTACGACTATTCTCAGTTACAGCAGCAAGTTTCTCAGGGAATTGAAATGGGCGTGATGGCCCCTTCATACCAATGAGCTGAGAGCCCCAGAAGGCCTAGGGAGACACCGTAGTGGCAGCAATGTGCGGTGTACAAACAGCTCTTCACTTGTGGATTTAGCGCCGCCGAGCTCCGCTCAGCGCAATAGCACCGTGGTATGCCCCTTCCTTGGATGTGAAGGCATGAGGTGCAGTTGTGAGTAGATTTCTTTAGCTATTGGGAGGTTTCTCCTATCACGCTGACTACTCTCTTTTAACATGTGCCACCGCTACTTCCAAGCAGATGGGGCCCTAGTGCACATGCTGTGCATGCACACGCCCCAGATGGTGACCATTTAGTAGAAGAACTAAGAGTATTAGTGTTTAAGTGGTCAAAGCAATCAGTTGCCGATAAAAAACGATCATCCGATGATCGATTTAGGAATTTGCAATGCGAACCGGCGTACGCCGCGAATTTGACTCTACGACACGCAGCTCTGCGCATAGCTGTTGGGTTTCCCGAATTATTGGCTTACTGGGACACTTGGGGGACTCCAAAAAAAGCAGTGTAAAACATCAGCGTAAGAAATTAATGCAGCGTGAGGCTTCCTGCTCTGTCGTTTTAATGGACGCAACATGTCGCCACTGCGCATGAATCTACAGGGGTATTCCTTCGGTCGCATGATATGCAAAGTCTGGATTGTATCCCGCTTTCCTGGCAAGTAAATGCGCAAAGGTCAAGTAGCCTGGGAAGCAAAGGATACGCTGCCTGCGGCTTAGAGGCAAAGAACAACAGGTCTTCCGTGTGACAACTATTCCACGCGGCAAAGATAAATCCAATCGCCTACACGATCCTCGTCAGGTAGCCATGATATTAGTCAGGGCTTTTAGTACTGGCAGCCACTGCAGAGGTTGGGTGCTATGAATTTGAGCGTGCGTGGCATCCCTGTTAGACGAGGGGGTACACGCTGACTTCATTGGCATGTTAAAGATGTCTTACCATACAGCGTTTGGCAAAGGAAAACTCCCTTTCCAACATGCACGATTGCTGTTGCACAACTTACGCACTTCTTAGACGGTACGCTGTAGAACGCCGAAGTCTGCGTTTCCACACAACGTGCTAACCCCTGAGTATGTACAGCTTCGTCGGGGAGCGAGGGTGAGGCCAAGGCGTCCGTAGCATGCATTGCATTTTATAGGTGATCAACGGTCTAATGGGACACAGAGCATGCATCCTTTGCGACCCCTAAGTAATACAGCATGCCAAATATGGGGCTTGCCACACGACCTCGTGTATTTTTGTGCAGTCACGGTTGCAGCATCTTCTTTGCCACTAGCACTATGCTTGTGCGAAGTCAAACACTTATCTTCGCCAGGCGTAGAGGCTTATTTGAGCTAGATCATAGTCGAAAGAGATAAGCCCTTTGGTTTTAGGTGCACCTAGACCACCGGTCACCTGTTTTCTGTGGTTACCCAAGGGTCAACTCGAAGCAGGTAGACAAGGAAGCGCCATGATATGCGCATCTTTTCCCTGAGCCAGCGTCCCCTAGTCCTATGAGCTGTGTACGTTACTACGAGACACCTTAACAAAAGGCAATAATTGAGTCGCTATCCGCGAACCTGTACTACACGTTTTTGTGGTACAGGAGATGGCAATTAGCGTAGGTGAGTAGATGAGCCACTGACTCGGAAATCGCCGCCGTAGAGAAAAGGGGGCACACTGCATGCACAGTAATCCAGTAACCAGCAGGCTTCACATGCAAGAAGATAGCCGACATCACCGCCTTCTCGAAGCTTCTCCCTCCGCGGGCCCCAACGCATTGGCCTGAACCGAAACCCAATGCACTCTGATGAGGTGCATAGCAATATTCGAAACGGCATTCCTTCCGACAGATGCAACAAGCAACAAGTTCATCTGCGGCATATGCGCCGCTACGAGACGCGCACACACATTTGAGAGCGAATATCATGGAAGCTAAAATATGCGTGCAACTCACCAGGATCTCAATGCCCCGTTCTAACGACGTAGATCCAGACTCAACGAGGTCTCCAAGCAGGGATGTACCGCCCTGGCCGTCTTTGTTGAGCAGCGCGTGCTTCACCAGTCTGAAAATCAAACCAACATGCCTATTATGTTCAGCTGTTGTGTTGATCTGTTGGCATCTATATATCCCTTGCTCTGTCTATATGCATAGATACCTATGCCGACAAGAACCTTGCCGGGACGATTTGCAGAGGCAAAACACAAATACACAAATACAGATCTGCATTCTATTTCTACCCACAGCCGTGTATCAAGTTTTCTGGACACAGAGTCATACCAACGTGCAGACACTGCTCAGAAAGAGGACAACCTGGGTTCACCTGATGCTTTCCTCAGTACTTAGAAGCGCCTGCCAGTTCCTCTGCGTTGCCTTTGCCCCTTCAGACTTCTCGAAGGTCGCTTCTTCCTCACCAGCCTGATCTCCTTCGTCTTCTCCGGGAGCCGCCACGACTACTGGCAACTTCTGGGTCCCCTCTCGAGCGTAGTGGCGCGCAGCCTCCATCTGTACAAACTCAACGGCTTCTAGGAATGCCGCAGGATTTATATCGTCTGGATTGGAGCTTCCTGCGGAGGCGGTTTCTGCTGCCTCGGCAGCTACAAGATGCAGAGCGTTGTGTTGCATGGGAGTTCTTCCGGTGCCTTTGGCACTAGCCCTTGCTAGTGCTGTAGCGGCCGCCTGAAGTGTTTGCTGCTGTTTTGCTGCCGCATCTTCACTAATTTTACCCGACTCCCTCAGCAGCGCAGGTAAAGCTGTGGAGGCTTGAAAGAAGCGAGAGAGCGAAACGAATCCTTCTGGTTCGCCTTGCCCTAGAGGTTCTGGCCTTGCGAGACTCTGGATTCTCTGGAGGCCATCTGAAGCCGGCGGAGTAATAGGTGCCTTCGCTAGTTTAGTGGCATATTTATCTGCCAGAGGAGCTAGCTGACTCGCTGTGATGTGCTTTTGCAACTCGGGGGGTGTTTCGACACCCAGTGTTGTGAAGGGTTGATAAACTCGCCCCATCAGCTGCATCATCTGCTGCAGCAGTACGTGAGCCAGCAAGAAGATATCGCGGACACCTGGGTGAATCTGTTCAAATTGGCAGCAGCACTTCACAGATACCAGCTTCGTGCATGCCTCAGTCATAGACCAAAGACTCCAATTGTAGGCTACGCAAGAGATTGCAGAGTGCATGTCAATTGATGAGGAAATGGCATAATTTCGGACTACACAACCACAAGCCCCCACCCTTGCTGAACAAAGACCGCCAACCTCCCCAAGTTTCAGATCCTAAAGTCTAATCCTCGGCTCCATGGACGTAGTGTGAGAGTGCCTACATAGATTACAGGTGGTTGGCGAAAGTCTCCAACGGCAGCATAGTGGCTGGCAAGAACAGCTGGTGGCGAAGAAGCCTTGTATAGAGTCCCCCGTGCAGCGGTAATGGAATTTGGATCAGCAAAAACTAACTGCGGACTTGGTGGCAAGGCCCTTGAGAAGCATTTCGTGTTGAACATGGCGTACAACTGCTGAGCCTGCAGAGGCATCAATACGAGGATTGCTCTTCTCAGTTTCAAAGAGGAGTCAGCAAATAATGCAGCTTCAAGGTCCCCAGCCAACCGAACTACAGCAAGGTCATGATCGAGGCTGTCGGCTTTCTACGGCAGAGCTGCCTGAAAATCTGTACGGTAAATCGGAGTCAAACTAACTTACAACAGCATCTCGTCCTGATCCTTCAACGATGCGCCTCGCGCTGTCTTCCAGAGCACCTCGTAAGGCAGCCTCTCCCTTGACTGCATTTTGCGTCTCCTCCACAGCTTTCGGCGCCTCATCAGGCTGTTCAGTTAACAGCTGGGAGTCCGAATCCTTAGTCTTGGAAGGCATCTGACCAGCGCAGATCTGACTTACGGCCTCAGCAAGCCCTTCTTGGTTATTCGTGCTGTGCAACAAATGATGCATCGTCATCAGTCTCTGGGAATGTTGATGTTGGTGCTCGATGACATGCAGGTCCTCAAGATACTTAAGGCCTTCCTGGAAAAGAGCTTTAGTGGCTGCAGGGGAGCCCTCCTCCGGGACTGAAGGCCCCTGTGAGACAACGCCCCGTAGATCAACTCCAGTTGAACCAGCTTGGAGGCAGTCGCTGGAGTGCTGGTATCCGCGGGTGTGGCCTTCAAGCCACCGCAGCAGAAAGGCGGCACCCGTAGCCTGAGAACACGGACGATACGCAACAGTACCGCCCAACACTCCCCAAAATTGACCAGGATGCACTGCGGTTTCTATGGAAGCGTTCTGTGCTAAGAACGTTCTGCCTTGCTCCCTCTGTTTACTTGCAAAGCCAGCCTCCACCGTTCCCTCAGTTCGTTGTTGAGCCCTGTGTGTCTGCACAGCTCCGTCGTCCTATTGCCACCCTTTCGCACACCCCGTAGCCACGGCCATGCAGAACCTGCTGCTTTCTCTGGTCCTTCTCTGGAAGCTTACGTCACGACGCAGCTTCTCGGCAACCTTCCAGGCCCACGTATCTAGGGAACTGCTTTCGCTTCCTGCCTCCACAGACTTTGGAAGGCCTTCTTCCCCCATTTCCTTTGCTACAGACACAGCGCCAGCAGCTGCAGCCCCTGCTGCAGCGCTCCTCTCCCCTGCCCACAGTGCATACACTAGGGGCAGGAAATGTACGGAACCCTTTTCCCAGTTTCGAGAAAGATTGGCCAGGGCACCCTCTACTTTGGGTCTGGGCACAACTACAGGCGACCCTGCAGTCTCCGGATGCGCAGCCGTCATCAGTTCGCTGATCTCCCCGCTCGAAGGAAGCACCGTTTGTCTCTCTACCAGCGTGTTTAGGAGGAGTAAAGCCCTTCTTGGCTCAATGCCTTCTTCCACCAAGCGATCCAACAGTGGAGTTCGCAGTCGCGCACCCTCATACCTCTCTGCCTGAAGCGGGAATCACACGAACGGCCAGATCTGCAAGGTGCATGTTCGCATCAAGTCTCTGAAGCAAGCCGCGTTGAAAGGCTAGAGTGCTACTGCTGCTGAAGGAGCTGTTGCACCGATACCTTGTGCCCTACGCAGCCTTGGGCTGCACGATCCTTGAGGAACTGACTTATCGCTGAGGCTTTTTAGAGGAAACGGGGCCTTCCCGCCGTGGGCTGGTGCTATTTCACTGAGGCTGGAGGGAACGCGCCTCTTGAACGCATTTCACTACACCGCCTTCTCACCGTACAAGCTTCCAGGGCCCGGAGGATCTTCTCTCCTTCGGCTTCATCCTTAGCTTCCCTGAGCAGCACTTCTGTCTCCGCAGCACTCAGAGCCATGGCTGCGCTGACGCTTCCCGATGAGCCTATGGGCACTGCCGTGCGTAGGGAAAGGAGACGGTGGGGGCCCGAGCTCCCCACCTGTGCATGCACAACTGAAGCTGATGGTTTGGCAGAAAGAATATCAAGCATTGGCCTCGGAGAGCCGCATACCAAAGCAGGGTCTCCAGGGCCCTCCTGCAGTGGGCAGATGGATGTTGCGAGTGAGAACTGTAGCGGCTCTCCGCCTTGGAGACCCACGTAAAACGGCCATGCATTTCTCTCCGCCGTTCGCCTGATGGCTTGCCATCGGCGCACAGCTTTGCAGCAGCAGGAAGGCGAAGAAGCGTCCCAACTTTCTGTCTCCTCGCTCGCCCCCTCCAATGGAGGGACGCCCGGAGGCAACAGGGCTCGAGGGGTGAGCACTGAGTCCTTGTAAATCGTGAACATCGAGGAAAGGAGCGACGATGCTGCAGAAACGCCTCGAGACGCGAGACAGCGCATCTCCTGATCCGCGCAGGAGCGAAAGAGGGTTGCTGTGGCCCCCAACATGGGCCAAATGAAGGGACAGAGCACAGCTAAAAACGTGGTGTGTGGACGCCGGCTGCGGCTAACGCTCCCTTCTACTCACTGCTGCTACCGCTCCTAACGCTTCATGCTACTGGTGTTGCCAGGGCTCCTGATCTACATGGGGGCATACATACCAAGCAGAGGCAGATGGTGCACATCTGGATGAATGTGTATCGTCCACTCGGCCCTGAGGCTGCCGTCATGTAGTTCCCGAAAAAGCCTACACGATGCCGCTGTGGGCGAACTAAGGCCCCTAGAGATGCGCAGCCGAAGCGAGTCCGGAAGGCTCCTTCCAAAGCAGTTCACTTGGAAGAAAGCGTAAAGGCGAGCGGCCGCCGTGGCCAGGGCACTCGACGTTGCGAGCGTAGGCCGCCCCGCATTTAATGGATTTGAGCCCTCAGAAACCGTCAGCAAGTCAGAGAATGACGGAAACGGGATTGAGGCCTCAGGGTGATCAACGGGGGCAGCGGCGGCGGTCACCTCGGCATGAGCTTCATGTGGCCCCTTGGGAAGCATTAGGGTCTTCCGCATGCTGTGTGTGAGATCCCTTAGGAAGACTTGAGCCTCTACAAAGGTCCGCACCGCAGCCTCCTCGCCATCTTCCGGCAAAGGCCCTTCCGGTTCTGGGGACAGTCGGCGAGCGTGCAGGCCAGTGCCCCCCAGAATAGAGCCCTCCAGAGCCTCCGTTACTGCCTGAGACGCAGGAAGCCCTCCCATGCATTAGAGCTCTACGACGCAAGGATGGTTCTGGCAAGATCGGCTATTCTGTCGGCGCGTCTGCTCGAGCACACTGCATGGTGATTGATCGCGGCAAGACTCTACCAGCAGACATGCGCGACTTGCAGCGCAGTGCGGCGGCGGCGACACGTGCTGGCTCACCATAAGCATTCGTCTTTCAACGGTGTTGAGCAATAGCAAAAACTCGCGTCGCTGCTCGAGAAGTTGCGCCCTTGAGACGGTCCTGCTTGGCCTAGTGCCCCTGGCATCGTCTTCTCGGAGACTGCCGTCAGCGGAGGGAAGACCCAGCTGGGAAGCGAGGCTCTGGGCTTGCTGGTTCAATTGCGCCATTAGTGGAGCGATCACGCGTGCCCCTGCATCCACCCCGTCTAGAATCAAGGCTTCTACGAAGGCGGGCAGTGCTAATAGGGCCCCTGCAGTCGTGCTGTCAGCTGCAAGAGGACCTCGGAGTTTTCCCTCCGCATACGTTCGCTCCCTGTGCAGTTGCTCCTCCATCGCATCCAAGTCAGGCGGGCGCTGGTCACAAGAAAGCAGAAGGCCCTCGAGTAAGGCCACGGCTTCGCTGTTGTCTCCGGCTGCCCCGCTGCGCTTGGCGGCATGGAACAAAGAGTTCAAATCCCTGTCACGCATGTACACAGGCTCAACGCCACGCATGTAAGCAACTCCAGCCAAGCTGCAATGGTCCGTTGAGTGCTTAGGTAGACGACGCCTGAAGGGTCTGCTTACAGCCTGGTTGCGTCGCCTAGCCAGCTCGAGAGCTGTCGACGCTGCGACAGGGTCAACTGGAAGGGCAGATAGTCCGTGAAGCTTGGAGCAGCGTCTGTCGAGGTTTCCATCCACGCCTTCACAGCACTTCCCATGGGTAGGATCCACAGGGGGCTTGCGCTACGAGTCCTAAGGTTCCTGCTTTGACTCTGGCCTCCGTATTCAACAGGGTATGCTTGGGCTATAGACTGCAGCAGTCGTAGCCGCCGCTGGCGGGCAGCAGCACTGAGACCTGTAAATGGGTAAGAGAAAAGCAGAAACTCACAGAGCTGTAACAACGTCTTCACACATGCAGTAACAGAGCAAGGGCCAAGCTCTCGACACCTGCCGCACCCCACTGTGCGCCTTTCAACTGCCGCCGGATACGCGGCTACACAGTGAGGTGCTGTAGTACCGTGAAAGAGGGCTCTCTCTATATATACAAATATATATCTATCTATTTATCCCGCTTTCCCTCTCTATCCATTAGATAGACAGATATATATCTATCTAGCTCAAGCATTGTTGGCTTTTTGGCATTGGAGCCTACCTATGGTGAGCAAACCATCAGGAAGTCCCCGAGGTGTTCTGGGATCAGGAATGAGGTCCAACACTTGAGGATCCAGCATCTCCCTGTATCTTACCATTGCACAAAGGACAGCCCAGCGTAACGCCAGGTTGCCCCTGCAAGCTGCTGTGTCTCCAGTTTCTGGAGCATCCTTAGTCGCGATTTGCAAAGGCGTGAGGAGGGCTTCATGCAAGGCCAATTTAGGCAGCCGCAAAAGCAGCTTCCTACTGCAGGAAGGCTTGCCTGGTGCCCCTTGAACGCCGGAGGCCCGCCGCACATCCCACAGGGGCCCCCCTTCTCGGACGGATACCACAGGAACTCGCTCGAACGGCGGGAGTTCGTCGTGAGAAAATAGCGTTGCTCTGAAGTCTTGCCAGATAGGTGCCACCCTGCACAGCAGAGGGTCCTGCTGTTGCAGGAGCTGCTTCTGTTGCCGGTGCCTCTCCTCCGCCACTCGGGGGTACAACGCCGCAAAGAACTCTTTGATCGCCTTTTTAAGGGACTCGAATCCACTCTTTCCCTTTGGAGCCGCCGACTGCGCTGCTGCCCTCCGCTGCACAGCGGCTGCAGCGGCCTCGGTGAATAAGGCTTCAGCCAACTTGAGCTCATAAAAGCCGGCTCCGACAGGGCCCATGGAAGGGCTCCCTGAAGAGGCGTGAGCACTTCCCAGCATAACGGAGGCCCCTTCTTTCAAGAAGCGCAGTGCGTCGGCCTCAGAATCAACGGCTAAGAAAAGGAACGTTTCAAGGGGCAGCTGCAAGTGCCTCCAGCTCCCTTTTTGTTGAGCCAAGCCGTCGGCGGGGTCTTCACAAATGGCCCCCTCAGAAGGAGAGCTTCCAGGAGGGGAACTGAAGTGTACGTCTATCGTGCCCGGAAGCCGGGAGACGCTGGCCTCCCTCAGGGGGGCCTGTAGTGGGGAAGCGTCTTGCTCGCTGTCCAAAGACAACACCGGCCCCCAACCCTCAAAATCCGCAGCTTCCTGCATTTTTGCCGCCTCTGAAGACCATTTAGGGGCTCCCAAATCCATAGAGACGCCTTCGGGGGCCGCTCGCATAGCCGTGCTGCAAGCATCTGGGCTTGTCTCCCCCGCTCGACGTGAGGATCGTCTGGCTTGCGACCGAGATTCTCCGTGTAAGGCCCGTGGTGTTGCCTTAGACCAGGTGACTTCGGAGCTCCTCTGATGCGTCGGTACGAAGGCTATGCTCCGTGTGTGCAGTCGCTGCGCATGGAGGGGTAAGAGATGCTGCTGTTGTTCCCACTGCGCAACTGCAGTGGGAACTCTGGTGACCCTTACCGGCTCTTTCGAGCCGAAGCGCGGAGAAGAGATAGAGGAGACTGGAGAGCAGCATATTGTTGTTACAATGGCTGCGCAGAGCACATGGGGCCGCATTATCGCCACCTAGTCCTTGAAAAGGGGCCCTCATTGAGGCCCTGAAGGTCCCGCTGTCCGCTTATTCAAATTATCCGCTACGCCGAACCGAGGGCTGAAATGATGAGCACGAAGCGTAGAATACGCACAAAAGATCCTAGCTGCCGCGAGTAGGTATCTTTCAAGTGTGAAAACCACGGGAGGGCCCCTCACTGGGGGCCCCTCCGCCGAGCGGCTGCATGCCTGGCCATGGTGGTCTCCCTCAGTGCAGGGCCGCTTGTTCGTCGTTCTTTCCGGTTTTACTACGGAACAAACCATGGCCATGCTGGGAACTTCGGAGAGGAGCCGCGGAATCTGGAGTTCTAGCCCGATTGCCATATTTGAGGCCTGGGGCCTCTTCGCGCCGAGATGAGCTCCAGCGCGTGGAGGGGTGCCCTTTGCCTTCCGAGGGCTTACCTCAAAAGGTACTTTCAAGGGAGGCTTTCGGAAGATTCCATGGCCGCGGCAGGACCGGCTGCAGCTTTTGCGCCGAATAAGCACCTCGCCGGAAGGCCCTCTTCAGGCCTGCCGTCAGACACCCCTATGGCAGGAGCGCAAAGTCCAGCATCTGCAGCAACATGCGCCTCAGTGCATTTGCGGCAACTTCAACCGAATGGCTCTGCCCCGCGTCCCTTCATACCAAGGAGCCTGATAGTATCAGCACCGACAGCCACCGCAGCAAACGAATCCGCGGCAGACACGACGACAGCCTCAATGGGGTCATGGCGTCTAGCTTACGCCCTGAAGCAGCAGCGCGACTTTGGAGTCAAGCGAGTAGTACAGAAACGACGCCACCAGATGCGCATTGTGCACCCTAAGCAGGAGCCCTTCTTGCCTCCTCCGGCGTCCGCTTCGGGAGATCCCCCTAAGCCTCCCCAGCCGCTCCCACTCTCTCTTGTGAATTCAGGGCCAGTCAGACGCTTGTTGTACAGCGGGTCCGCTGCTGCTGCTGCTGCTGCTGCGGCCGTGGACTGGAGACAATACTTATCTCCTTGTCGAGGGGTGCGCTGGCATCCCTGCGGGGCGTGGCGAGTGCAGTTTGACCGTCGAAACCCACAAAAAAACTTTTTCGTGAGAGCCGACCTGTACTTCCGCGTTGGCCTGTATGGCTTTAGCGGAGCCAAGCACAGGGCCGTCCGCTACAGGAAGCGGCTCGAGATGGAGTGGGAAGAGCTGCAGGAGACTTGGAAGGCCCTCGACGAGCAGCACAAACTTCAAGAACAGCAGCGAATGGCTAAGCGTAAGACTCAGCAGCACTCGCAAAACGATGTGCACCAGCAGCGGGAGGCTGAGGGGTTAATGCTATAATCCGCCGCTCCCTACGGTACTAAGTCAGAAGAGACAGACTCCCTGGCTTCCTGCACGCAAGATTTAGACTGATTAGTGAAGCGTCTCCCTAGGCTCTCTGTCTTTCCCCTTTGGATAGTGAATGTGGTGCCGCATTCTTGGGACGGGTGGCTCCGCTATCGCCGTTTCTGCGCGGCTTCAGCTACGAAATAAACCCTTCAAGAAACAAAAGTTTTGATGGGAGACTCTTCAGGCCTGTCCAGGCAAGCGGTAGTGAGCAGTGTTTAGGGGTAATGACTTGCCTTCACGGTGAGGGTGTGGCTGCTGCTTGGGGGAGGGGTCATAAAAAACATGGGGTTAGATACAGCAGCTGATAAGAGCAACGAAAACGCTTTTCTCTGAGCAACATGTCTGCACACGGACCAGTTCCGCGTGGCCCTAGCTGCAGCGAAATGTTGGGGAGCTGCTGATGGCTATATCTAGCTCTAGTAAGTTTTGCGCACCTCGAGCTGGTTACTAGCTTTCTTTGTCAACCACGGCTGCAAAAGATAGCTAGCTGCGAGGCAGCAGACGTTTTTGATAGAAGCATGTGGCATAGCTGTTCTCAGCGAGGTTCGGAGTCAACAGCAGAGTGAGTGTAGGATCCCTTCAAGACTTGGTTCGTATGAGCGTTTCCTGTTCTCTAAAACTTGCGTGACCTTGCACTAACACTGCGACTCATGACATCAGAGTCCGCCGAGAAAAACTCTTGGGTGTCAAACAATGCTCATTATGGATGGGCCTGGATTCCTCATTTCCGGGGCCAAAATGACTCTGTTTCGACTGACTCAACAGCAGCTCTGGCCGATGCTCACAAAGATGACTCGGCCAGTTTCTGAGGCTGCGGCATCTGCTCATTTACTTCGAATTCCGCTCCGGCGTGTGTGTGCTGCTCGGCTCGCTGCTGCCCAAACAGCTGAGGCTGCTGTTCTTGATGCAGGTGCTGATCACCGGCAATGCGGCGCCATACAAAAGGGGTTCCCTTATTGTCAGTTGTCCAGTAGAAGCAGCTGGGGATCGGAAGCCTCATTATGAATTCGATGTAACCACCAGATTCTAGGGGGCCTCGTAGCGCGGCAGCAGCTGCGCCAACTGCATCCATTCCGCTCGCCCACATGTGCTTGAGCACTTGCAGCTGCTGCTTTTCCCCAAAGATGCATGACTGCAGCAGCGGAAGCTGCTGCTGCAGTCTTGCAGTGCTGGAATCCTGTCTCTCAGCCGGCCACACCATCCAGTGACCTTCTCCAACAGCCCTAAAGGCCCTCCCCTTCGCACCCTTCCAAAGGGCAAAGTTCCTTAGAAGCCCATCCCATACTTTCTCATTGCTGCCACTACCGGCACTGCCCCACAAGAGGGGGAGGTACAGCAATTCCAACTCCCGAAGGGCCAGAGCTAACTCTCGGTGTTGCAGCTCCACTGCTGCGTGGTGTATTTGCAGCAACTGCTGCACTCGCTGCTGGCTTTCTGTGGCTGGTCGCACAGCAGAACGCGCACAAGGATAACATTGAGGAAGCGACCCTGGGTGCTCCGGATGTCCCTCCTGCTGAATGCTTGGTCTAGCCTCCCAATACTGCTGCTGCAGATTCCACTGGGGCTGCTGCTGAGGCACCTCCAAATGTTGCTGGAGGAGCAACTGCTGTTTCAACATCTGCTGCTGCAGCAACAATATCTGCTCTTGGGGAAGCGCTGCATGCACTTCTGGGTTCGGCAGTGAGTGCAGCTCCGTCTGTTCAAGCCTCGTCTTTTCGGTCTCTGGTTGTTGCTGCTTTTGCTTTGGCTGCTGTCGCTGGTAGTTCATGGGGTGTTGTCGATGCTGTAAGGGGTTCGCAACTGCGCACTTTCGTCTGGATGAGTAGCCGCTGCATATAGATTGCCTTTTCTTCTTGCTGCTCTCGCTGATGAGGGGTCCCTTAACTTTTGTGTGCGGCCGTCTTCCATCCGGGAGTGGTGCTCCTGCTCCGTCGGACGCTGCTGCGGCAGCGGCAACTGCTGCTGCAGTCGCAGCAGCTTGCTCTGTTGAGGCCCTGTGCTGCTGCACCGTGATGCGAGATGATTCTTTGGTCGGCATGACCCCTGGTGCTACAGACTCGGCAACCAAAGAGCGCAAACTTAGGGACGTCGGATTCTCAGGGCTTTGCCGATGCAGCACCACAGGCAGCAGTGGGTCCAAGAGTCCCCAGTGCGTGCGCTGCTGCCGCTGATCACAAACCGAATGAGCCATCTGATACTGCAAGTGCTGCCGCAGAGCCTCGTGGGGGCAGGCGCAGGGGGAGGGGTGTAAGTGCTGCTGAGTATGGAGGAAATGTAGGTAAACGTGTTACTCTAGGCGCTGCGGCCGCTGCTATCGAAATTCACGCTACTGCAATTCAGTATACGGCTTTTTAATGTGAGTCTTTTGTGGAAACAGCGATGGCCCTATGCAAACTTCGGGTGGCGGTTTCAGTGGCGATGCCTTCAAGTCCATTGGACACCTGAGTGACCTTGCAGTCCCGGTGATCTCTGAGGGTCTTGGAATACTTGCGTGTGACTGAAATTGAGCAGTGTAATGATAATCCGCTGTCTCCCTGGGATTTGCTGCTGTCTTCTTGGATCATATTTGAGGGCTGGGGCACCAGTCGCCCGGGTACATACTTTCCCACGAAGACCCCCTGTGTCCTTGTTGTTACTGGTTTGCTATCGTCTAGGGTACCGCCTATCTATGAGGCTGGGTGATTCAATTTGCAGGTATCAGATTAAGGTCCAGTGATGAACCCCCAAGAAAGTGACCCTGGTGACTATACAGCCCCATGGCTTGCACCCAGCAGATACTCTGTAGCTACAAGGAAAAAGCACAGCAACCTTTTGCAGAAATATAAATGTGGCATCTGAAACTGACAGGGGCAAAATGTGCACGTTTTAAATGCTTCGAGTGGAAGCAGGGGACGCGTAAATTCTGATGGGCAGCAGGACTATAAAGTTTTCACTATAAAATACGAACTGCAAACCCTAATTGGAGACACCCTGGACCCTGCTAAATAAATTCACATCCTCACTGTGTACATAGCGTCCTTTCTGTAGCCTCAGTGTCCTTGACAGCAGTAGCAGCTTCAATTCACCTTAAAACCGTTAAGTACCGGGTTAAAGCTAGCTAGGCGCTTCCTATCACACCGGTTATATCCAACTGAGGACCAGTACAGAGCCGACTTTTTGCGTGAAATCTAATATCTTTTATTTGTTGTAGGAATAGTGCAGTAATCCAAGAACTAATGGTGGGTGGCTGTGCTCTAGTTGCTACGTGCCACAGGGTGTCCATCCTACGAGTGCCTAATATGTGCACCAACGTGCGACCTAGCTGGCTGTCTTTCCTCATACTGAAACGTCATAGGATGCGAGCATAAGGAGGGGCTAAATTTTGAAGGAAAGGAACAGCATAACTTGAAGTTTTTAATCAGGTTTTCGCCTACGTCTCTCCTGGTGGAGGCCGTAGGCGAAGCGTTATAAGTAATGTACGGCTATGTTGTGTATTAACATTAAAATCGCCTCTCCAGCTTATTTTCTGGTAAGTGAGTGCGCGACATAAGCAGTACTACTATGAAAACTAGGGCCCCTGTACGCTGTAGAGGGTCTTTTCACCGGTGACGAGTTTACCTGAAAGCTGTGCAGTTAAACGTGATCGTGTATGCTTCAATGCTTGATTTTATTTTTGCAGAAGGCGGCCTTTGCGAGCTGTATGTAACACTCCACTCGAGATCTCCGTAGTCAGGCATTTCACTGCAGACTCAATATAGACTTAGGAGGATGTTACTGAGCGTTTTCCAGAAAAGCTCCCCCTCTTCCTTGCCAGCTCCCCTTAGAACCCCCGCCATGAAGGCCAAAAAAGACTTAGGGTACGCTCACCTGTAGCCTCTGAAACCCCAAGAAATACAAGCTAGATGCACAGCATCTAGGGTACACGCACACAGCATTATGCCCTGTATGAGGCTACCCACACTCTGCAATACAAAAGATGGATGTACAAGCAAATTAATGAACCATTTATTTGCTAATTCTAATTTCGATGCAAGTCGTATAGTAGAACATGCCTAAGTGTAGCTCATCCTATAACATCACCCCTCTTTACAAAAACACGCCCGCGCGTTCCGTACTTGTCCGTCGAGGACATCCGCTTGCATAAAGAGTTTCAGCCCTACCGCCACTACCAGGCAGGCCGAAGCGTGAAAGCATATACAATGAGAGAATTAAAGTCGGCATATGCCGGTACAGAGAACCCGAAAAGAAATAGACACACACTAGCTAATAGCCAACGAGCAGCTAAATACACAGGACAGCTGGCCTGCAGTGGAAAATCGAGCTTCGAACCTGTTTAGCAGTGCCTTTGCACTTCAAACGGCATGGTATGCATGACCCTATAACTACATATACAGCAGAGCCAATTCAGGGGTTCCAGAAATGGCCAAAAGAAGAATGTTGAGACATGACTGAGAGTGTCTGCGTATACATAAGCGTAAAGAACGTAAGCAGGATAATTCAAAAATTTCATAGCAATATATACAGCATGAGGAGAAAAGAAATGCTAGAGAGGAGTAGTCCTCTTCATGGCGACTATGATTTCGAGCCAAAACACAGCCACACACTCTCCTGCAGAGAGTCGAACCCGTAGCTGCTGTTCCCTTAGCCACGTAGGCTGACGTGGCCCAGATCACTTTAGAAAAACTTCCTTGCGGTGTGTCGAAGGCGGTTAATACCCCTAAAATATAATGATGGATTCCTGTGATTACTCTACCTTAACACGGATTGCTTGCCTGCTTGGCAAAGTTCGCGAATGATTTGGGGAGCTTCGAAGCTTCTTTAGGAAGCCAGTACTGCTAACCTTTTGGGCACAAACTTTCAGACCATACGACCCAATAAGAAGCAGCATTGATTTACGAGAAAATAACACAGGGTCCTTGCTCCATGACCACAATTTGTTTTGTAGTCTTATCGTGGTGCAGGTGGTAAAGTCTGCCGATCCACTAGAGCCGAAGCTCCGGGCTAGTAGTACACAGCCGAGTGCCGCCTAGCGTAGTTCCGCGTTTATGTCTCTTGAGCCTTGCGCACACGCGTGCACCAGCCAGCTTTTTTCTGGGAGTTTTTGCTGATTAGGGGGGCTGTTGACTCGAGATCACCATGTCCACCCACTGATAATGGTGAGGCTCCGGAGTGCAAATCCGGTATGGGGGAGCACTGGGTAGACAACTAACTGTTGTATTAAAAGCCCACTCAGCACAAGGAAGAAAGTAAAGCCAAACAAGTGTATCCATGAGAGCATAGAGTCGCAAATACTGCCAGAGAGTGGGGGCGCGCTCTGTCTGACCATCTGCCTCAGAATGGTTTCCAATGCTCATCTCATGGCCTAGAGGTAGGTGCGTCCTAAGTGCAGGCCAGAATGCACTGACGAGCGTCGATCTTCTTCCTCTAATGAAACTTCTGTGAGCTTAATGGAGCTCTCAGAACTAAGTTAAGAATAATTGAGCTACTTTTTGAGCCGCGACAGAACTGGAGCTTCATGAAAAGGACATATCTGCTCATTAACTCGGCAACGACGCAAATGCTATTCCGACCCTTGACCTCGGCAGTCCAACAGTAGCGACAGTAGCCAGATCAGCGCAACGCTCTTCAGAAACCAGAAAGCTTTGCAAAGGGTTTGATTGAAGAAAATTATGCGACTGAAGGCACTGAGAATCTGCGCATGCCAGGGTACACTTCTTCGCTGCTGGATGCGCTCTAAGTCGACGACGGAGCCGTGAGAGCTTTTCCAATGTAATGTAGATCTTGCCACTTACCGAAAACTGTAGTATGTGCAGAACGCAGTAAAAGCTAAAGTCAGAATGTACAAGCGAAGGATTCCCCGCTTTGGTTCGGGCCACCGACATTCTTCCTGATCATGGTCGTGTCTCATCTACTTGCCATTCTGTGCTTTGGCAGTAGTACCGGATGCGTTTATGTCAAATCAGAGGATGCATTCAACTTTGAGGGGGCAGTGAACCATTACACACACGAACTGTGCGCACTGCGGCTTAGTGAATCACTGGGCCATGGCGAAAGCGCGTCCGCAAATACTTTGGAGACACCCTCAATATACTCCAATGTAAAATCGTGCGGCGGGAGGCGCCAAAGGGGGAGCAAACAACTCTCAGAAGCAAATTTCCGAAATTTCAAAGAGGCTCTTCAAAGGCAGACAGTCTGTTTGAACAGTAAAGCGAACCCCATTTACATAGTGCCGACGTTTTTCCATTCCCCAAAACAACCACATCGACCTTAGTTTCCCGCATTGAACTCTGACGCTCTCTTTAGGTGAGCCGATAATAATAGAAAGCAATGAGTTGATGATTCAGAGAGCTCGTAGCTTGCTGGGAAAGAATGGCTTCTATCTTAGTAGAATCAGGTCTTTGGCAGAAATGCACCCATAATCAGGAAGCGCACGTAGCGGGAAATTGTAATGCAGCCAATGAGCGCCTTTGCTGTGACATCAAGATCCTGTATCCGGGCTTCAGACTGCGTTTTCTGGAGCAGATCGGTCTCGGGAGCAGCGATGCTACGAAACCGCGGACTGAATCCGCAATGAATAGACGCAATGAACTTTGCAACCTTTATGTAGGTGCATAAAGTACAGAAAAACTCTTGATTGCTTCAACTTTAAGCAGTGCTACATCAACGCCTCCAACAAAGTACATATATTCTTAAGAGTGCAGATGCTTCGTGAAAAGTGAAGCCTTGCGCACTTTCACATACCACTGCGTGTCCCGCAACAGCTGAAGCGCTCGGTCTAGCTGCCGTCAACACTCTTGAAGGTTTCGGATGCAATACGTCAACTATGTAGACATCCATACACCCTTTCGTCAGGCTGATGAACATCCCTGTAAACTTGGCGTTTCAGTTCAGCTGGAGCACTATCAAGTCCAAACGGCATCCAGGGGTGCGAATGAGGGTGTGGAATGCCGTATTGTGCCTGCTACTTGATGGAATAGGATTGGTAAGAAGGCTTCTGCGCAATCAATGGCAAGAAGACCTATGTTCCTTAAAACTTATCAAGTCATCCGCCGACATAAGGCATCTGGAACTTCTGTTTGACAGTAATTTTGTTCAGGGGCGAAGCGTTGAAGCACATGCTCGGACTTCCGCTCGTTTTCAGCATCTAAATCAGGTTCCGCCCCAAAGTGCTGGTCATATCCTACACTTTGCCTCTTTTCAACAAGTAATCTACCTGCCGCTCAATATCCTGTTCATGCTGTGGGGGCTTCCGATGCCTGTGAAGTGGTGCTTTTGCCTGACCTGGGGATTGGCTTATTGCGGTGCGCTAGAAGAGCAGCAAGTGGCAAGCCTGCTGACAGCTCGTCATCATTAAGCACATCCGCGAACACCTTCTTTACATGCGCCCATTCGTGCTGTTTCTGTGCTGAAGATTCATTCGAGCTTTTGATCAAAAGAACTTCGTCCCATATTCAGTAGGGTGAGAGAAATGCTAGCAACTGTTGACTCTTACTGCGCTGCGTTGCCAACATAAGAGCTTAGCAAAACTGTTTAGGCACCATCTCTGCTAAATCCATACCCCATTAAACATGAATTAAATAAGCGCTGTGAGGAAGAACCAGGAATTGACTCTGTATTACGCTTCCAGGCATAGAGCCATTACAGCGCGCAGCTCTGACCGTCTGCAAGCCCTGCATTCGTTCACCAGGGGCATACCCAGGAGCATATGTGATGCACACTACCGAGTAGCCCGAATCATGATGATAGGACAGAATCTCGATTTGATATGAGGCATAAATGCCCTAACCTGCCGATCCTTGCGTTCTACCGAATGCAAAGGAACACGATTCCTGGGAGCTGCGCAAACGAGTGGACAAACGGATTTAACCTCTGTGCTGTTTTCAAGGATAACGGATCAGCTTTACATAGAGTGACCAGTCGCGCTATCGATTCTTGACTATTAATGTGAGCTTGCATCCCCGCAGGATAAAACCATGGTGGGAACCCAACTGCGGTTCGTTTTTCTGTGTAGCCCTTTTAGCTGCGCAGCTTTTGTAGGGGGCCTGTTGGGTCCCTGATCGCCAAGGACGCTGCTTCCGCCGAGTCCACTTCCGTCGTTGAATTGTGGGAGCTTTTTGATTGCGCTTGCAGTTTTGCTTTATATGACCTAATTCCCTACAATGGGAGCAGGTGCGCTGTTGCAGGGCTGTCTCGTCGCTATCTTTTCCTGGTTTTCTTTCCTGCTCTACATGAAAGTGTAAGCTTTGGTAGGCAGACAGGCCCCACACTCATAAGCTCTGAATCCCGACTTGGCACTTCGTTTTTAGCCAAAGACGGAAAATTTGTACTTATTTTGATCCCGGGAACCTCAGGTATATCACTTTTAAAAGCTTCACCAATCAGTTGTTGAATAGTTGAGTTGTTGACCATCATGTGGCTACCTGACGTGACAATTCAGGCAAATCCTATATAAAACACCAAGGTGGCGGGGATTCGTCTAAGTTGTGGACTTTACATAACAATGTAGCATATTTCTTGACGTACAGGTAACATTATAGATTCTCATGCTGATTATTCTCATGTCTCTCAAAACTTGCTACTGTGTCGATTTCGGAGTAAAGCGATGGGCCAGGGCTTGAAAGAAGGCTTGGAATCTTAGAATCCATACAGCTGGGCGAGTTATTCTAGATGAATAGAGCCATTATTTGAGCCCGCCACAGTTTAATAGCTATATCGCAAGTAGCACTCGTGACACTTCATCTGTAGGGCACAAATTGAATTTCATGCCGAAACGGCTTATTGCATCTGCGAGTACTTTCCCTCCTTGGGACTTTGTTACTTTTATGGTCGGCAAAAAATAATCGAAGCATTCTCAAGCATTTGAGCAGCTCTCATAATATGGCTTGTACCACCTGTATGGTTCACATCAGACTGCACGAAGGCCTGTGCTACCCCAGCAGGCGCTGTGCCACCGTCATCTTACATCGCCCAAGAGTTCTTTCCGGATGGGGCCTAAGGGCATCAGATTGTTAAATTACCACGTAGCTTGATCAATATCACACATTTATTGTGAATAAACATGACATTTTACTGCACTCTCAGCCAGTGGATGAGACACAGGATTCCCAACCTGAGTGGAGAACAGCCAGGTGTGCGTAGTTGCACCCTCTAAACGCTTTATGCTTTGTAGCTAGACGCACATAGCCTCTGTCTCAGCTGCACACAGCGCTGCTCCTTCTTGTGTCGAGCAAACAGTACTCCGCTATGAATAAGCCACCCTAGCATAAAAGAGGCCAGGCAGTCATTTTTTTGGGTAAATCTGAGTTAAATATAATTACTACAGGAGAGAGTGTTTCAGGGTTATGCCGCCCGCTACAAGTGTAACGATTGACGAGAAGCCTCTCTCTCGTTTGTGCTCAGCCTTCTTGACAGACAGGTACAGAACACCATGTGTGTTTTGAAGTCAGGGGGGAGGGAGGGAAGGTGCAACAAGCTAAGCTGCACTTGGACAATGTCCCCCACACAAGCTGAATTGAACGAAGGTTTAATAAGGAGCTAGCTGCTTGGCTTAGCTGTTCGTGCACCTTGATTATTGCCCAGTAGCCTTTGCTAAAACAATCGGAATATATAGTATGCGTGTCCATTAGGTGCTATGTATGTCGCGCTGTGAATCTTTAAAGTGTGTGGGGGGGGCAGCAACGCCCACCACGCTCTTGATTGCACCCCATGCGGGAACCCTGAATGGTTATGGCAGTGGCACGAGGAACCTTTATTGAAAGGATGCTCAGGAACTACCTATAAAGCCTTGTATTGGGATGGGAGTGAGGTGTCCGCTCCATGAAGAAGACATTGAATGAGGCATTGCAGGTAGCGAGTAGATTAAAGGCCACCGATCAAACCTCTAGAACAATCAAAAAAAAGAACGAACACTTTGTTTGACTAACTTCAGAAGCTCTGAAGTTGGCCTTTCATCGTCGAACGCTGCTTCTGCAAGGCACGTGTACAACCATTACAAGCGCCATCTAGGCTTAGATTCAATGGAGAAAAGATGATTAACGAAAGTGACGGCACAAAACTGAACAAAGAATGAAAATGCGCGTGTGTATGACAAAATTTATAACTGAATGTTGCCCACCGTTGCAGCTCAAACCGCACACTCGCTCCCGCGGGCAGGTGTCTCAGGCCTTCGGACTACTGTTAAGAAAGGAGCGCTAATCTCAACGGGCAATTTTCAACAGATTAAGACATGCAAAGCTTTAGAAGAATAATGCTTTGCATAGCAAAATAGCGTATCTCTGTTTTTTATCACAATGCTTTTGTTTGCTGCTTGAAGGCCATCTACAGAGTCATTTTTTCTCTTTGTGTTGGTCAGAGTGTATCCCGTAATTTTTTTTGACAATATACGGTAGAGCGGTTTTCCACGTTCCGCATGACTGTTGCTCAATGTGGATCGGGAGACGATGAGGCATTTTTTATTGCTCGTTGGACTCCTGTTTCTTGCCACATTACAGGGGGTGGCATCGGGGGATGCGGTATACAGAGGAGAAGGCGCTTTTATGTTGCAGTGTATCAAAAATTCGATCCTTATTTCTTTTTACCGGAGGTGGGTGCTTCTTGCCTTGCGATGTCTCCGCACTTTATGACCCCCTGGCGCTCAATGGTCACCCATCTGACTGTCTTCGTGGTTTCCCGACTAGCCATTCTTTTTGCTCAATTTTTTTGCTCAATTTTTTTGCTCAGACCGCACCAGCTGTGCGTGCGCTGGACTTCTGGTGATACAGTGGGCAACCTCTCCAACACTTTGGCTGTTTTGACTGGATCAAACCACCCCGTAGAGCTGCGGCCGCGCAGCATCTGGCAACGAATATTGTCATGGAATCGGCAAGTGGACGCAAAACTACGGCTCGAAAAGTTCTTGCGGACCCCTCTTGAGGCATTTGCCAAGGTATCCAGTGCATGAATAACCCCCATTAAATTTGACGCCTTGATTGGGGACACTGCAAAGTAAGAAGCTGCATACCAGTGTGAGTGTGCATAAGAGGTGAACGGGCTGTGGAACTAATGGTACGCTTGCTTTAAAAGCGTATGTTTATGTGGCATGTGCGAGAATGGAGCTGCAGGAAGGACGAAAGCGTTTTGCTCTTGATACGCGGTTCGTCGATTTGCTTCCACGGATTGACGTACGAAACATTCCACTGCTGCAGCTTCAGCCGGTAGAACAGGGCCGTACCATTGAAGGGGTGAAAAAGCTACTAGAGGTGTCACGCAGCTCAAGTCCCTCCTGGCTGACCCGCAGAGAGGGAGTTCCTGTTGAGCTTTTCCAGCCGTCCAATGAGGTGCTCAGTCGCCTCTTCCCTAATTTGGCTTATCGACGCGTGGAGCTTAGAGACCCCGAATCTGGCCTCATTAAGCATTTCCCCAGCAATATTTTCTCCTATCCCATGAAGGCGAGCTCCTATTATTGCGGCTCGAAGATCCCATTTGTTATATCGAACCGTGGCAAAGAAAAAATGAAGAGAGCCATTGCTCAGGAAACAGCACCAGCAGAGGCCTACATGCTGGTATCGCGCCCTCCAAGGGATCATAATGTAGAGCAGGATCCAACAATCGCCCTTATTCAGTGGTTTAGGGGTCCAAATGGCGAAGCGGTTATGCAGGAGACGGTTGTACATATTCAGCTGCACGAAGTGGTAAGTCATGCCAAGGCCCTGCTTCAGCCTATGCCGTGCTGTTCTTTGGGAGATTCAGATAGCCGTAGATAAGGGGATTCATGAGCCCTGGCCATGGATATTCTGCTTTTTTCTCGCTTTCAAGCTGTGTTTTTGCGCGCAGTCGGTACTGCCGCCAGAGTCTCGCAGGGGATACGGTAAACGGCGACAGCACGAATTAGTATACCCCTTGCCTTTTAGTTTGTGAGAGTCGATGCCTCCTGTATATTGGCACGTTTTGTTCGACATAAGAGGCTCAACAAAACCTGGCTGTGCTCAAAGCATTGAAGGGGTACTGCCTTGTGCGGCGACGGGTGGATGTTTTTCGCGAAGGCTCTCAGTTTGGCCGGCACTTCTTCATGGATAACGTGAGAATGATCTCTAGACTGGGAGGCACGCTCACGAAGCTGCGTCTCTCCCGATTTTTTGTTAGGAAGTTTGCCGCGATGACAAACATCGGTGAGATAAAACGCGGAGTAGAGGTCCAAACGCTCGGTGCAAAAGGCTTCGTCCAACACGATGGGACTTGTTTCCCTAGTGTGTGTGTTTGCGTGTGACATGTGACTTTCTTGAGTTTTCTACGTCTCTTCCTAAACAAAGTGCTCAAGGAGAGAGAGTGCTGAGCTGAGTTTTGAGTCCTGCGGCTGCAGACATGGAGGAGGCCTTCAGCGTGAAGCAGACCCTCCCGCCGGGGAAAAGGAATTTCGAGTCGTTACAGGATTTCTTTACCCGTCCGATAAATATCGAGGCTTTGCGCCCTATCGACAGCCAGGCATCTGTGGTGGCACCCGCAGATTCAGTGCTCCAGAATGCCTTTTTTGTTAAGCCGAATGCACTGGGCGAGATCGTTGATGCACGAATTCCCCAGGTATGAAGTAGCCAAGTTCAGGCCAAGGGCGTGTCTGGAACTGCCTGCAGAGCGCCTTTCTTTGGGTGTACCGCAACAGCCCCTCTTCGCTCCCGGGAAAGGTGGCAGTACACCACGTAGCCAAGCGTCAGCACCTATTTTTTCAAGACCCAAGTCATGGCGTTGGCAACATGGGAGTGGGGGGGGTCTGTGTGCGCGCATCACGCAGATAAAGGGAACGACTTTCAACTTGTCAGATTTTCTTTTTGGGCGGGGTACGAATCAAGATATCAGGCTTCAAAGCCCCAAGAACAGGCTCCATGTGCAGATCTACTACCTAGCCCCGGCGGACTACCATCGCTTTCACTCTGCTGCTGATTGGATTGCAGCAAAGCACGTGTATATCCCTGGATGCCTCCCTTCGGTGAGTGGGTTTCATTGTGATCCCTTGTTTGCACAGCCTCTAATTGGGGTCGGTCGCTGTAGCATTTCGACTCGCGGGGCTGATAGAAATCCATGGGACTCATTGGACAACGCCGTGTTCTGCAGAAGGCAATTACTGCCTATCTCTTCCCCGCGCGGAGTGAGAGGCTTTCCAGCAAAACAGGACGCTGCTGTGTTCTATGTGAGGCCTGCATCTGCATGGCTCAGGTACAGCGCAGGATATTGCTCAATCGCAATATTTTGGATGCTTTTGAGCGCACGTCGGTCCAGGGAACCTGGAGACCAGGCAATACAGAGGGGCCGCGTTTGTTTTTTTCCATGACGTTTGTCGCTGCATCAATGGTGGGAGGCATCGAGCTTTCGTACAGGAAGCAACTGGACTCAAACCGGTTTACTTGGACTCCGGCGTGCTCACAATCCAGAAAGAGTATCCTGTACGAGTACGACAAACCTGTGGGCCTCTGCATGGGAAATGAAATGGGGAGCTTCCGTTTCGGTAGCACTATTGTCCTGGTGAGGCCAAACCCCACAACTGCGAATGACGTGGCGGCTTTGGCATCCCTGTGTCGCCTGTTACTCCGCTGATTCGTGCTCTGCCTCTTGCTTGTGGAGAAGTCCCTGGGTCGATGGCCAACCCCACGGTTCACTGCTTTAGCGTACCGCTTAGGCGGAAGCGTCGCTTATCCATTTTAGGCGCTGGAGGGTTTGCTGAATTGCTACAGTTGCTATCCGAGCTTTTTTGTTAAGCAGTCAGTGCATGTGGTGCTCATTCACGTGGTCACCGCAGCATCTGAGTCGGAGACGTGCTTCCTCCATGGCGGTCAATTTCTACTTGCGCTTCATTTCCACATGCCCTTTTCTGCTTCCATTTTTGGATTCTTCAGGTATTCGAAGCTCCCGAAGACCTTGAGACCACCTCGCCAATATGCGACCACGTCGACGTCAACATGACGGTCGGCAGTATTCCTGGCAGCCCCAGGCTTACCCTCCCGCGCTGCGATTCTACCTATGGGAACCATAGAAGCACGCTAGAATTTTTGAAGTATCTGCAGGACCTTAAAGGGGGGCGCACCAAAGAGTTGGATGTCTCGGAGCACCCTGCTGAGATTGTGGCCTCCGATGCGAACACCGCCACAACTGCAGAAGGGTCGGAACCCTCCGTCGAACGGACCGATGTAGGGCCCGAGTCAGATGACAGCAGGTTGCCTAGCACACCTGTGATGGCTGAAGTGTCATCGGACGAGGACAGCAATCTCGATGCTGACTTGTCCACCGTTACGCACGGTGAATCTACTGAGAATCCGCTGGATGAGCCCCTCGATAAGAAGGCCTTGGATGGGCAGGCAAAGGAGGACAGCGATTCAGGCCTTTTATCTAAAATAAATGGTCCTGAACTCCCGTATAGAGAGGCCATGCCGAGAATCCAGGGAACTGAAGGAGAGGAGGGAAAAGATTCTGTGTTCACTAGTCAGAGGCCATTGCGCCACTATACCGTAAAGAAATCGGGACCCGGAGAGGAAGTGAATCGTTTCACTTTCCTAGACCTCAACGCACAGATACACACCCTTGAATACGGCCTACTACACAGATATGCTCTTGCACGGTGGCTGGCCCACACATGGACGGCAAGTTTGCACATGCTGCCTGACTAGTATTTCTCGATTACAGTATTTTCCTGTAGCTGGCGGGTTTATAGTATTCATTCAAACAAAAAAGACCCTTTTTATCTCAGGAGCTCACGTTGCTGCTCATCCGCTTTTGCTGCGTACCACAAAAGCATGCGTCTGCTAATACTGTTTCGCACGATGCCTCAGGTGGATACTGCCCCCAGCGGCAAGCGTTTGCTGATGCTGCAAACTGGCCAGCTGCGCAAGGAGCAGAAGGACTCTAATGGAATCAACAATCCCATTTGCTACTTCGGTAAGGCGGCCACTTGAGCACTTGCTGTGATTTCGTGATTCCGAGTGCAGGCTAAATAACTGCTGCTTCTGCTGCATTATCTCAGGAAAGCACTTCGTACCACCAGCAGTGGGTATGGGTTATCGTGCATCACTTTTGCTGGACAGTGTTTTGATCTTTGCTGAGAGCATAACTAGATAATGGTCGTGCATTGAGCCCTTATAGTGTAGCACATGAGGCTGGCGGGGTGAACTATGCTGGTGTGTGCCGTCAAGCATATTCCTCACATCGATCTGGATCAGCTCGACGGCTTATGCATGCGTGTACAGACAAAAAACTGAGTTCACTGCAGTTGCAGTTTGTGGGTCAGCTGTCCAACTTGCTACTGGTGTGGCCTGCCAAGGAGAATGACCCAGTCTTGTTGAAGCACCCGTATTTTGCATGTGCTAGCGCCAGCGGCTGGGGCAAGGTGACCAGAGGAATTTCCGCTTCTTGGACCTTATCGGGAGGTGAGGCCTACACAACGCTGCCTGCCATGGAACTGCTATGTGCCCAGCGAAACGGAGCAGTGCTGTTTTGATAAAAGTTCCCTTACAATTCCTAGTGTGCGACGGCTTTCTTCGATAGAATGGATGCATCCTGGCTCGTGACTGATAGTTCTAAGGGCACATTCTGCTAGAATATGAACATCAGACGAATTGTTAAGTCGTGTTTCCTTTGAAGTTAAGTCTTTTCACTTGGTCTTACTAAGAAAGGCTACTCTTTAGATTGCTGATTTCGCTCAGCTGAGTTTGTTGTATCGCTTCGATGGAGCAGCATGTACAGTTGAGTCCTTTGTTATGTAGGTACCTAAGCTTCTGTTCTCTGACCTGGTACAATTGAGGATGCCATTTGTTTGTCTCCGACCTTCAGGCGGCCTCTACGCGGAATTCGCCTTAGATCTGTCTCACAAGGTTGGTGATCACACTGGCGAGTTGAAGAAGGTGACGTATTCCCTCATTGGAACTCCCGAGGGGTCAACCCGGTCCCTCCTCGGCCCTGAGGCAGACACTGGGTTGCCTGATAATTCAGAGGAGCTGAGCGATGAAGCATCTATTCTTCGGTTCGAAGTGACGCCGCCGCAGGCCAAAGAGGGCGAGGCGCAGCAATTTGCAGTCACCACAGAAGTGCCTTCCGTGTACATGGACCAAGCCAAGCCTCCAGTTACGAGCCGTATTCGTAGTGCCATCTCTGGTCTTTTGACTAGGCTTAGACGTCGTATATCCAGGGTGCCTCTGGGGGCGAACGCGCAATAGCGATGTCTTTCTTTGTGCATCATTTTGGATTTAGAGGACTTCTCTTGATGTCGCTACCACCAGTTGCAGGTATGGCTAACCAAGTGGGGTACCAAAGTGAGCTGTGTATGTATACATACATGCATATTAAGCAATCATCGGGGCCCTACTTTTCGAAGGTTCAGCAGATTTGTTCCCGTACATGCCGACTCATGTTGTCTTATTAGCAAGGCGCATCCCAGGGTATCGGCGGTTGGGTAGCTGGGTACAGCTGCGAAGCCACTCATGCACTAGTAGGCTGCTGCTAAAAGCTTCAGTGAGTGTTAGCAACAACAGAGCAGCGGTGAGGGCAAGAATTTTGCGGTTTGAGGCTAGGATTCCAAAAGGTTTAATGGATTGCACGGATCCAAGCGGCAAATGGAAACATTCAAGATTTACGGGGTTGTTAGTGTGGACGATGACTAGAAGATGCTTTCCCTGGGACCTTAAAAGCCTGTGCAAAATGTGCCAACACCATTCCTAGCGACTCTCTGCCTCTCTCCCACAACGAAGTCATTTGCCACACATCTCCCGCAATGTGAAGCCTACTCAGGGAGGACTGCCAAGGCGCCCGCAAATGAGGGAGAGGATGCTTCCTTGGTTGAATCAAACGTAGGACTGCTGGGAGTTCTCATATGTGTGCTTACATTTTATAATTTAAACCCGAATTCAGCGAAGCCTTGCTTGATTGTAGGGTTGAACATGTTTTGAATTACCGTTCAGCAGTACGCCGGAAGTACCGGCGTCACGTACTGTGTCCCAGGACACGCTCCGCAAATACTACTTGACTAATTTTTTTTGTTTGCAATTAATAGAAAGACTTCTATGTTTCTTTCGGCATGCCCTTCTGTGTAATGGGGATTAATCTGCACAAAACTTGTTCTATGCCTGTTCGCTAAATTAGTGCGTACCATTGTATGCGCATACACGAGCTATCCAAATGGTGCACTAAGTTGCACACAGGTTACCATGCCTGCCTTGACCAGCGCACCAGATGGTGTGCTAACAGCCGAAGGCAGAAGCCTTTTTGTCAAGGATTTTGGGATTGGGGTCTTATTGGAGGTCCTAGAAAGCGTGTCAGGCACCATCTTCTTGAGTATCATGCATAGAATGCAGCCGACACATCTTTGCAATGATCTGATGAGCTATGTAGCTTTCCATCAAAGGCCTCCGTAAGCTGGACCGCTTCCCTCTAAACTAAAACACGCTTGGAAACGCAATTATTTTTATTAAAAAGCCCCCTTCTTTCCTTAATCCCAGCCCTCCCATTACCGACGTAGGGGGGGAGGACACCTAGGGTGCGCGTAGTTGCATCCTCGACACCCTCCAAGTCACCGATGTTTCACGCAGCGTGTAGTGCAGGCACACACAAAGTTGTGTCTTCTTGTATCGAGATTACAATACTCTGCAAGAGTGTACACGAACAGCCAAATAAATGCGCTAGTTTTTCCTCACTACCATTTAAATTAAAACACAGTCGTGCAAGGCTTCGAAGTGCAATTTAACTTGCTACACACTGAGTCTACCCGGGTAAAGTACGAGGAAGCTGAAGAGAATTAGATCACTCGTCAGGCATTAAACACTGAACTAGGCGTAATCACACATCGACAGAAGGCAATGGACCTTTGGTTGCATCTGCCAGTCCTACTTGTGACCGTTGCTGGTAGCTAAAACCTCGTGCGAAACGATGTATCTAGCAACAAGGAATGTCGCCAAGTGGAATGCTCAATAGCCTTTCATAGATGTAGCTCTTACGGGAAGAGAGAAGGCTTCGGATCAAAGGAGTGGGTCAGACTGTGTGGGAAGAAATTGCTCTACGCAGAAGGACAGTCCCATTTCATGTGGCACTTCGTCATGGGCGTTGATCTATCGAAAAGCCACTCAGATGTGCTAGTGACAAGCAAAGCAGTAAAACTATATTATTATGAAAACTACCATGTATAGTTGAGGGCATTCAGGGTGTTTAGTAGCCATCAAGCGCGCACAAGTGGCACTACGCAGCGGATTATCTAAGTGGACCGCTAGTGCACGGTGAGCGAAAAGATTTACCTGGCCTTTGCAAGGGAGCTGCTTCACACCATTACTCTACAGCATGATAGAAATAAAATACTGTGGTAGATGAACGGACAAAATTTGAAACTCTCAGAACCCCTACAGGGCCTACGATGTTCAGAGGTTCCACCCCACGATCGCCTCTTAACCTACAGGAATCTAGTCACCTTTCGCCGCGCATATCGACTGGGAAAAGTGTGTAAACAAGAATCAGCTCAACGAGGTCTACGATCGCACTATGGTATAGGCTCCAGCGTCCGCAACAGCCCCACACCAGTGGCATACCAAGTCCATTGAAAGACTTCCAAACAGTACGCGGCCAGAGTACCAGCTTCACATGCGTAGTCATTGTGCAGACGTAGCTTCGGCACAGACACCAGGCGGTCATGCTGCGCGGCAAGGGTCTTTCACCCTCCAAGCCCAGAAATTCAGAAGCACAACCGACAACGCAGCGGCCGGAAGGCGACACCCCCACCACAGCAGCAGCTTCAGCATGCAGATCCACCGCTTCTGGGGTGCTGAGCAGTGAGCAGCAGCCCTTCCGTTTTCCCCGCCTTCAGGGTCCGTCATTGGGTCCAGTCGCCAGCACCCCTTGTTCCGGTGCTTCCCTCCAAGCGAATGAGGGGGCAGCCGCATCCACGGGTCAGCTCACACACTTTTTGAAATCAGGCTTTCTGTATGGGAGGCTCAGCGGGAGGGGGAAAAGTCACGCTGCCTCAAGGGGCCCTTGGCAATTCCAATCCGCGGATCTCCCTCTGACCAGCACAGAACCTCCAGGGGGGATAGAGGCCAGTGCCGGCCTTGACACGGCCACAGCGTGGACTGCAGCGGTAGCAACAACAGCTGCGACTGCATCGGCTCCAGACGATTTTGCGTTCGGCGGACTGCCCGCGGGAGAACAGGCAGAGCGCGGGAGGCGGCAGCAGCAGCAGCAACAGCAGCAGCAACATCAGCAGCAGCAGCAACAAGTGGGTGTCTCTCCTAGGTTCTCTGGCCTTGGCAACGCTGGCAGTCGTGTGGCGTGGCGCTACCGGCAGTACGTGCGACGGCGGCTGAGGAAGTTGCAGCAGCGGCAGAAGAAGCAATCGACATCCAAGCGGCAGAGCACCGCCACAAAGGGGCTTGCTGCTCTCCCAGTTCCCTTTTTTGACGGTCCTTCAAGAAACTCTGAAGGGTCTCTGCTAAAGCTCTCCGCTCCACACTGCAGCGGCTTCCTGGAGGAGGACTTTCCCTCAGAGTCTGAGTGTCCAGACACCCCAGGGCGTCGCTCACACGCGGACTCCCCGGTTCACAGGGCTGTTTCCTGCGCAGACATTCCGACTGCCGGCTACAGAAGGCATTCTCCAAGTAGCGCCAGGCGTCGCGCGGGAGAAGAGCACTTCTCTCGTTCGATCCAACTTCGTTCTTCAGCAGCAGAAAATATACCAGGGCCAGGCTCTGCAGGAGGGGCAGAAGCAGGTTCTGCCGCCGCGAAGTACCAAGTGGGACCGTACTATTCATCCAGAGGGGGAAGTGACACAGGAGGGGAGACACCTGGAAGCACAGAATGGGGACCTTGGGGGTGCTACGGAGGCGGTGCCTTGGGGTTGGAAATTCAAATGCTAAACGCCATTGAGCAGGTGCGTTTCAGAGGGCGATACACGCAGTCCTAGCGAATGCAACCAAGTACCCTGCGAAGCACTTAGGCAGCAGCAGCAGCAGAATGCATGTATAACTGGAGCTTTATTGCGTGATGCGCATTTATTCTCCGAGGAGGCCCCTTCCGGGACCTCTTCGAGCTTTTAGCCTTGGCCGGAGCCAACGTCAGAATCTTGTGAACGGAGAGCTAGGAGGAAAGACAGACAGCACGCAGGCGTCTTTCCCTAGCCAGGTAGTCGAGGGGCAAAGCAGGCACCTAGGAGCTTCACGAGCGTGCACTTACGGTTGCAGTGCCTGCCGACGCAATAGGCAGAGGCCAGCTGTAGAAGGAATGAGTCCGTTGCTGTTGGTACAAAAGTAGGAGGCCTTGGGCAGCAGCATGCCCTGAAGGGTCTCGAGATTTTAAACTAGAGGAAGCTGAAGAAGACATACAATTATGCGATGTCTTTTTTCCGCCGCCCTCCCTTCTCCCCCCTTTTCCTCCCACCCTGCTCACGTGCACTCCATGGAGGCTCCCATCGAGGTGTATGCTTGCTGAGAAGTTAGGCAATGTGCTGCATGCTTGCGGGCTTGTTTTGAGGCATTGCGTGTGCCCCTTTGCAGAGCATCTTGCTCTTCAACCAGCGGCCAGAGGAGGGCATATCCCACATGCAGCGGCTGCACCTGTTAGATAACAATCCTGAGGCAGTTGCTGTCTTTCTTCTCGTCACTGATGGGTAGGGAGAGGTCGCAATGGAGAACTGGGGTGCTGGTGACGACCTCCTCACTGCTCTGTAGTATAGCTTGCACTTTGCCGAGGGGGAAAGCTACACACACATACACATACATACACATTCAAACGCCCCAGGCTGCAGTCAGTATACGTCATGAGCAGTTCCACTGTACCGCTGTGACCCCGACTTGCGCTTATGGCTTGCCATTCTGTGTGAGTATGTGTGTGTATGTATGTGTATGTATGTGTGTTTATGTATGCAGGCTGGATCGTCATCTCGTGGCTCAACTACTGGGCGGCTCCGAGGCGCAAAGTGTAATGGTTTTAAGAGCGTTTGTTTCTCTACTTGACTTCAGCAACAAAGATGTCAGTGCGCAGCAGGCGCCTCTAGGGCACCGGTAGATTTTGAATGCAGTTAAGCCGCAGCTGTCTTGGCCCTTCTTAGGTCACCAATTGAACGCTGCGCGGGAACCTCTGCTGCTACATTTTCTGCTCTTTGGGAGGCGGCTCAGCGCTTTTCCGGCATCTGTTCTCACGTCCTGTCTGCTCTCACAGGTTGAAGAGGCCCTCCGCCACTTCT